GGGCAATTTGGCAGTATTAATAATTTGAAATTTATAAATCACTTGACTGAACCATTCTATTGCTAGCGATATACTTGCTGGCTCCATGGACATACAATAAGTGTATGCCAAGATATAAGTACCAAGATACTGCAGCATGTGTACTGAATGCCCACAGAAAGGATAATGATTAAATCCAATACATCATCCATAAGGTATAAAATATCCTATCATCTCCTTTTATATATATATATATATATATATATATATATATCCTATAAAAAAGAGGAAACAGTGATTATATGTGTGCAGACCTGATGACAGGTATACAAGAACCCAGGTTTTATTTCCACAACCACACACACACACACACACACACACATACACATTTTATTCTGTTTATAATTTTCAAATCTAGAGATGGATTTCCATTTGGTTGCCATTTGGTTGCATTGTAAGGTGTGTCAATTTTCTTCATACATTTCTATATTTTCAAAATACAATAACCAATATCAAATAAAAAATAGACTAAATGAATTATGTCTTTTAAAAATAAATCTGAATCTTGAGAAACCTAATTTTCCATTTTGATCCATGATTACTACAAACTAGTGATAAACCAGTCTTGCTGCATGCTGTCACTCTTGCAGAAGCAACAGGTGACTCCTGGACAGACAAGTCCAACCCTAAGGGCTATGAAATATGCACAGTCTGCTAGAAATTTTTAGACTAGTATTATGCTGAAGTGGCAAGAAGAATAGGCCCAAATTGCATGATTCCAACCTGTTTCTAAAATTTATCCTGGACTTACTGAATTCAGCAAATATTTTTATTCAATATATGCTATGTTTGCTTTCATTCTTTGAAATGCTGAAATGAACAAAAGGAATAGGATAGACCATCGTGGTGTTTGCATTCTGTTGAGGGAAGATAAAAGGAAGAGGAGACATATTTAAACTTAACTAATAATGTATTAAATGTAAATAAAATTAAATATAAATCATGTACTATATTAGAAGCAGATGTATAACAGAAAATAAAGCAGTAAAGGTACATAGGAAACACTAGTAAAAATTGCTGTTTCAAATACCATGGTCAGAAATCAGATTTTATTTGTAAGAAGCAAAGTAACTAAAGCTGTATTTCTAAATATTTTGCAAATAAATAGCCTTATTTAATATCAAAACATATTTTTATACATATTTAATGAAATTCTGATCAAAATCCCAATGGCATTCCTCAAAACATATTTTTAATCTTTATTTGCTATAAATTGGGAAACTCTTCATTTTTTTAATGCATGACTAACAGTTGCTATTAAATTTGTAACACCTTTTTTAATAAGTAACATTTTTATATTTTTCTGTTATTTTACAAATTATGTAAAATAAATATGTACAGTTATACACCACCTGCTGTTTTGGTCAAGAATGGACTGTGTCCTGGAATTGTATTTAAGAGGAAACAGTAATTATATGTGTGCAGACCTGGTGACAGGTATACAAGAATATATCACCATTTATGCTACAACTGATACCACTTGACAGGAAGGTTTACAATACAATATCACTTAGTTTGGAGACTCACAGGAAATATCTAAAAATTTTTATTTATATATTAATGCATATTACCATACTGATCATATTACCCAGTCCATACTATTAGAAGTATGCAAATAATGAAAGTTAATTTTGATGATGTCATGAACAGAACAAAATTGTAAGATGGAATCTGTTGCAAATAATCATAATTCTTTAAAAAAATAAAATTGGCTTTAAAATCATGCCAATAGTTCCTCAATAACTACAGAAGCTAAATGTACAGGCTCATGAAATTATTGTATGTCACTCTTTTTGGTTTTATTTCCATATTTTACTGATGCACTATACTTAAAAATAATAATGGGATTTGTTGTTGCATATTTATACATGCACAAAATAAAACAATATAATTTGGTCACTATCACTCCCTAGTATTTCTCCATTCCTGCCCAGGCTCCCCACTCCTGATCTCCTTCTTCTACTCTACTGGTCCTCCTATCTTCATTCATCAACACACACCTTGATTTTCCTTTCTCTTCTCTAGTTTCCACATATGAGAGAAAACATATGACTCTTGACTTTCTGAGTATATTTTATTTCACTTAACATAATGCCTTCAAGGTCCATCCATTTTCCTGAAAATGATATAATGTTATTCTTTTTGTAGCCTAGTAAAATTCTATTGTGCATATATATACCACATTTCTTAATCTATTCTTCCATGGATGGTGGTTCCATTCCTAGTATTTTGAGGAAACTCTATAGTGATTTCCATAGTCACTGTACTAATTTACAATCCCACCAACAGTCTAAAATTGTTCCTTTTACTTTGCATTCCCTCCAGCATTTATTATATTTGTATTTTTTCCGTATTTTTATTGGTACATTATAGTTGTACATAATGGTGGGATTCGTTGTTACATATTCATAATATTCACAATATAACAATATGATTTGGCCAATATCATTCCCCAGAATTTCCCCTTTCCTTCTATTCTAACCCTAGGGTCCCTTTCCTCTACTGATTTTCCTTCCATTTTCATGAGACACCCACCCCAACACACATACATTTTGGTTTTCCTTTTCCCTCTCTAGTTTCCACATAAGAGAGAAAACAAATGACCCTTGGCATTCTGATTTTGGCTTGTTTCACTTAATCTAATAGTATCAAGTTCCATTCATTTTCCTACAAGTAGCAAAAATTCCTTTTTTCTTTTTGTCTCTTTTTTCAATGAACATAGAATCACTTGATTGTATTAATATTTAAATATAGCAACCGTAAAACATAACAAAGTTGTCACATACAATATCACATTAACATTTATATGAAATAGAAAATATTACAAAATAACATTAAATAATACAAGAACAAAAGCTAAGTAAGATTTTATTTAATGTGATGAATGTGTTTTCCTGTTCAAAAGCTCCTTCCAGTCAGGAGCACAGAAGATAACACTATTTACATACCTATCGCACCATTCAGCCCATTTCTTCCTTTGATTTTAACTGGGTTAAATTGAAAACTCCAGCTCACACTAATTAGTTCTCATGAATAGTAGTAATAGCAGAATACTCCTTCTACCTAGCAAAGGAATATCTTCTGAAATGCTGATAAACTTAGGGTCTCAGGAGTGGGGATATAGCTCAGTTGGTAGAGTGCTTGCCAAACATCCACAAGGATCTGGGTTCAATCCCCAGCACCACCAGGAAAAACAAAGCAAAACAAAACAAAAAACCTAAGGTTTCATAATTGTTTGCCAGTATATATGAAGAACTAAGCTGCAGTAATTCATTTTCTTCTCCAGACACTAAGTTTAGCCCAATTTTTGCTTCAGGGTTTCAAAAAGCAAATAGATCTTTTTTTAATATTTATTTTTAGTTGTAGTTACACAGAATACCTTTATTTTATTTGTCTATTTTTATATGGTGCTGAGGATTGAACCCAGGGCTTCACACATACTGGGCAAGTACTCTACCACTGAGCCATAACCCCAGACCCCAAAAAAAGCAAATAGATTTTTTACCAACTGTTTTCCCTCAGGGTCTCAAATTTCTCTACTGGAAATAAATGGTTGAAAGTTTGAGATAGAGAGGTAAGAAACAACAATATCTCTAATTTAATTTCTTTCAAATTTCTTTCCTTAACAATATTCTCTTCAATATGTTGTAAAAACCTTGGGAACACATAGTAGCTTTTAAGCCTTGCATGCCATAACGATGTCTTTTGGAATGTTTGGATATATTCAGCATGTTGAAATACATCGTTGTTTTCTCCTATAATTTTAAACTCACCTCATTAAAAATGTCAAAAATATCATTTGAGTATGACAATTTTATTACCCAAATATCATCTTCAAAAAATTTGCTAAATTATTATTTTGAGGGGGAGGTGGGTACCAGGAATTGAACCCAGAGTCTCCTAACCACTGAGCCATATCCCCATCCCTTTTTATATTTTATTTTGAGACAGGGTCTTACTAAGTTGCTAGGGCATGGCTAAGTTGCTGAGGCTGGCTTTGAACTTGCCATTCTTCTGCCTCAGACTCCTAAAATGATGGGATTACAGACAGTTCTGTATCTCATTCCTGAGTTCATAAACCCTGGTTAATATTTTCACTTGAGAAAACCAACAAACTTTGGGATGATGCAGTACATGCATATGATTAGTTCCAATTATGAACAAACTGTCTCAAGAAGCTAGCTATTCAGTGAGCTTCCTTTAATAACATTAACAGCATTTACTGCATTTTCCAATTCTACCTTGAGACTCTAGCGGAATTTCTCTGGATGCTAAAGTTTCATGACTTATGAAACAATGATTCCACACAGCACCATTATTAGTAACTCCCAGCAACTTTTTAATTGCTCTGCTATGTTTTCCAGTTATTCTTGCTGCTCTATCACTTGTAATTACTTTATAGTTTTTCCAGTTGAATTTATATTGACCCACAATGCGCTTTCATATTTCTGTATCAAATTCACTTGGATGTGAGTTTAAATTTAAAAGATACAAAAAAATCCTTCGTAAAATCTAACATAAACTAGAAGGGCTGTGTAACTTCCAATATCAGTGTTTCCATCCAGCTGGATTGCAAAATTTATACCAGATTGTAACCAAATAATAAGTGTTGTCTCTAAATGTACTGCAATAGTCCAATTTCCAAGAGATATTGTGTTATCACTAAGTACAGGTTTTTTGTTTGTTTTGTTTTGTTTTCAGGTTCCATTACTTCCCCTTACCTTCCTCTCCTCCATCCCCCTATTTCCTTTACTCTATTGACTTTTTGCTATTTTCCTACAGCTCTTAAAAAAAAGTATTATGAATGTACATAATGCTGAGACTCACTGTGGCATATTCATATTTGTTATTCCCTTTTCTTGTCTCTCCTCCCTCCCCACCACCCCCCTCTTTCTCTTCCACTGACCTTCTATTTTGATGGAATCCTCCCACCCCCACTAATTTTCTCTCTTTTCCTTTAGACTGTCTTCTGCATAGGCATAGTTTTTAATTTATCAGCTGAATTATCATCAAAATTATAATATACCAAACATGCTGGAAGGACAATTTTCTTCAACAGTTGTCTGAACCTTTTCTTGATTGGTAAGAAAATATGATGACAATAAGATCTTCTCCCCATTAGCAGTAGGCCAATGAAGAAAAATTGTGTTGATATCTTTATGTCTTTTTTCTTCCTTGGAAATATTCAAGAGGCTTATATCAAATGTTCAGTATGCTGAGTTTCTAAGTATCTTTTTAATTTTGAAGGTTTTAAACTTTCATTTGCAAGAATATTATTACAAATAACACACTGAGGTCTATCATTCTCAAAAGGTTTTTCACATTTGATAAAACCATATTTTAAGTAATCTTCATTATAATATTTTGTACTTACTTTTTCCTTTTTGAAATGTGATTCAAATGAAGTTGAAGTTGGAAGATTACAGTCAATATTTTGCTCAGTATTGTCAACTTTTATAATTACAGATCCAGAACACATTTTCTATATATTTCATTCATTATCCTCTTTCTTTTTATAAAGACATGATCCATTTTAACAGTAATTTATTCTAGTTTGCATAAAGTATAATAATTGCTGCTAACTCAAAGAAAGAAAAAATATAGGTACCATCTTTCCAAAAAATGAACTCGAAGTTTGCAAATGAACTGAGTTGACTATCTCAGATTTTTCATCTCGCTGAGAGTCATGTTAATATCAAGCTGTACTGCACAACAGTATACTTGCTGTGAACACTAAGTGACAGCTGCAAGCAAAGGTAGCAAATCATCCCTTTGCCAATATATATTCTACTCATCCTATCCCTTCCATCAAATACTTTTCTTGTACATTAAAATGTACCTCCAAATTCCTTGAAACATGCACAATTTAGGCCAAGGGTCTACACAAAACTTTTGGATATTTTATATTTTATTTTATTTTAAAAAGTTGTTCATTATGATTCACAGAATTGATTTCATGAGTCATTAATGGGCCATGCATACGCTGCAGTACAATGCAGTGTTTGTTACTATAATTCTGTAATATGTCTCCAGCATTGATTATTTTTTAGTTCTGAGAAGAATGCCATTGATATGTTCATGAGGATGGCATTAAATCTGTGTATTGCTTTCGGTAATGTGGCCATTTTAATATTAATTCATCCTATCCATGAACAGAAGAGGTCTTTTCTTATTATAGTGTATTTTGCAATTTCTTTCTTCAGTATTCTATAATTTTCATTGTAGAGCTTTTTCATATCCTTCATTAATTTTATTTCTGGTATTTTATTTTGTGGGTGGAAGGGTATTATTGTGAATAGGATTGTTTTCCTGATTTGATTTCAACAAATTTATTATAGGTGTATAAGAAAACTATTGATTTTTTGTATGCTGATTTTGTATCCTGTAAGTCTATAACACTCCTAAATGTCATTTCTAATTCGAAAAGCTAATTTTTATTGAATGATGAATCTAAGCTAAGGATTGTTCTAAGCTTTCTTATTTAATTCTAACAAAAACTTTCCAAAAGAGGTAAAAGTATTATGTTGTAGATAATGAAACTGAGACAAAAAGAAGTTAGGTTGATGGCATTACTCTTTTTGAAGTGAGTGTCACTATATTAATCCAGCAATATTGTGTATATTTATATCTATAAACATGTAATCTGCATATATATATACACATCTGTATGTGTATATATATGTATGTATGTATGAATCCTGTTGCATTTTGCTAGCTATATGAAGATCCAATTGGCAATATTTGGGGGCATACATGGTTTTGCAAATAATTGACAGATGCTCATGTGTCTAGAGCACATAGTAGGGAACCACTGGTAGAGGTTTTCATTGGCATATATGGATCAGACTCTCTTGTGGCCTGGATTGTAGAGCTCCAGGCAGCTTGATGCTCCATTAACACAATAATTAGTGTTGCTGGAAATTCAGTGAAGGAATGCATGTCACCCAAGAACCAGGAGTCTTGAAGTATTCTCATTCTGTCTCAATCCTTTTCCTCCTCCTTGCACCTCATTTTCATCTCCATAATGAGAAGGAGTTTGACTTACAGGTTTTGAAGATCCATTCCAGCTATAATTTCTGTGACTCCATGCATAGTGGAGACAGACAGCGAACTCTGTTTAGCAGGTTTTTAGGATGCACAAAAGTAGCCCACGCTACTTTCCCCAGTACCCCAAAAATCATAAAGCGGAAATGTAATTATGGGTACTTCCCACATAAAATGAGCAGTCACTTTGAGAAAAAAAAATAAGATTACATAAATCTCTAACATTTTATGGAATGGAATGAGTTACAGATATTTACTACATACTCTGTCTTGTATTCTACCACTATAGTTCAAAGAAAGTTAATATAATATACTGGATCTTATAGCCATGGTAATCTCCACCCCCAAAAATCTTTAAAATCAAACTTGTACTCATAAGCACATGAATTTGTATGTTCATTTGCCTTAAGGAAGGTAGAAAATGCAAATGTTTCCTAAAATTACATTTGAGTCTGTGACTTAGAATGACTTGTAGTGTTATCCCCAACAAATATTGAATATGTATTACATTATTCCACCTCAGGGCCTGGAGGCTCTCAAGACATGGCCAGACACTTCATCTTCTATTTCATCCTGCTGACTGCGCTGATTGACAGAGCACAATGCTGCTTCTGTGATCACTACCCATGGACTCAGTGGTCCATTTGCTCAAAAACCTGCAATTCTGGAACCCAGAGAAGGCAGAGGTAGGTGTGAGTTATGTAGTTTTTATGTCCTGGGAGACCTTGAGGATGGAGAGAACAGTATCAGAGGTGCCACACTAAGATATAGGGAAAAATATATCTCAAACAAGAGCTGATAAATTTGAATGGAATTTGAAATCTTTTGCACATAAAGTTAAAACAAAGCCTACTTTTTTCATATTTTTATTTGTACTTGTTTTTATTCTTCCATATTTTTATTAACGCATTATAGTTTTTCATAATGGCGGGATTTGTTGTTTACATGTTCTTAAATGCACACAATGTAACAATATAATTTGGCCCAACATCACACCCCATTTCTTCCCCCTTTCCCTCCCTCCTCCCTTCTCTTGGTTCTTTTCTTCTATTCTATTGATCTCCCTTCAATTTTCATGAAATCCCTCCTAAAACCTTTCTTCACCTTTTCTTCTCTAGCTTCCATATATGACAGAAAACATAACAACCCCCCGACTTTCTAGATTTAGCTTATTTTGCTTAACATAATGTTTTCAACTTTCATCCACCCTCCTGTAAATGACATCATTTCGTTTTCCTTTGTGGCTGAATAAAGCTCCCATCATGTATATACAACATTTTCCTTATTCATTCATCTGTTGATGGACACTTAGGCTGGTTCTACAGTTTGGCTATTGTGAATTGTGAGCAAAGCCTACTTTTGTTCTCTCTATAAAAACAAAGGACACCAAAAAAGTTAATTAAGAATCTGTGTGATATCTTCAGTTGACTGACTTACTCAGAATTGCTTCGCAAGCTTTTTTCAAACAAAATTTAACTCTGCTTGCTTACAGTGAGTAAGTTAATTACAAAGAATTTTCTACTCATTAAACTGAGCCTAACAGGACCTCAGTTGAGCAGCACTGATTGTTGGCATACACAAGATGGCAAGAAAACTGTTACTTGATAGGATGTAGTATTTAGTCTTTTCACCAATTCATATTACCCACCCCTCATAATTTCTGTAATTCTGCTAAATGTTTCTGTACCATGGAGATGCTCACATGACTTGAGAGAGAAGGGCATATGGTTAATCTGTTTTAACTATTATAACACATTTTACAGACTTATTTTAGAAAGCTATTTTTACATATGTAGTGTGAATCTCATGAAAAGTACCAATTGACTTCCAATAAATCATTCACTAAGTGTATGAAAAAAGATTTGCTTATAATACTCTTCTACTCAAGAGTCCTTCAGGACCTCTCTACCTACCCAATAAAGTACAATATATGCCGTGCCTCTCAATCACACACTCCTTCCTGGATGGTCATACAAGCTTCTCACTCTCTCTTTCAGCTCTAATTTTGTCATTCCCTCTGAATACCTTACGTCTTCTATCTGGGGAATTCACATACATTAATCAAGATGTCTCTCCTGTCACTTTGTATTTAGATCTTCAGCCTCACATTATCCTGACCCTGTCTGAATCATTGTACTTACACAGTTTGTTTTCACCTTTTAAGAAATATACAGGGATTTTCTTTCCTGTCTTCTTTCTTTTCTTTTCCTTCCAGTCCTTTCCAGGAGATCTATCAGGCCAGCTTCATGAATGTGACCAGTACAGTGGCACAGACCCCCAAGCTTAGAATGGCTTCATGCTTGGCTACATGATCTGTCATCACTGTCTTGAAATTCTTTGCTTTGGAACAAGATATCTCTCTCTCTTTTTTTTTTTTTTTTCATTTTGTACTGGGCCTCAAAAATTCTGGAGCTGATCTGAGTTCCTAGTGTGTAAACCATAAATATGCCAACCTGCCCAAATTCCCATGAAAACTTGCTCTTCTTTTATTCTCTGTAATGTTCAATGACATTTTTTTTACAGAGTTAGGGCCAAAGTGAATAACTCTAAGCAAATTTTTTCCTTATTGTTGCAGACAAATAGTAGTAAATAATTACTATTGGGATAACTCATGTGACCAGCTTTGTACCAAAGAGGAGACCAGGCTATGTAACTTGCAAACATGTCCTATCAACTGCCTCTTGGGAGATTATGGGCCGTGGTCAGACTGTGACCCATGTATTCAAAAACAAGTAAGTAACGCATAGACTCACCCAGGATATCTGAATCACAACCCCGGTAGTTCTCTGATCCCTGATAGGTTTAACAACATAGAAATACTAAATTGCTTCAGATTCTAAAAATAAACTGTTCCACTACCCCTGGGAGAATTTTTTCATTTAGCAGTTTATTTTTGGAGGGGGTGGAAGAAGGGATTCACTTTATATGCCTTGCTGTCTTATGAATACCAAAAGGAAATTCCACTTCCAGGATTGCTCTTATTTTTATGCATATCTGAATTGCACTGCCTTTGCCTTCTGAGAATTTTGAAAGAGAAATCAGGTACAGATTCCAATCCAATGCTTCAAACTAACCAGGGGTGAGAGGAATGAATCAAAAGCCTGACTTTTTGCTCTACCTCTAAATCACCTCTCCCCGTAGGAAAGTCCCCCATTATGTTTATTGTTCCCAGCTGCAATATTTACCCACCTCATGCTCATTCCTGTAAGGGCATTGACCCATATGAACCCAGTCAGGGTCATGTGTGCTGAGTATGCACATTTTAGAGAAGAAAATGAAACTCATGTATGGAGCACACATTCTCTGAGAAAAACTATTCTGGGTCCCTTACATGTACCACTTTATTCAAACTTCACATCACATAATATTTTTCTACCCATTTTATAGAAGAGTAAGTTATAGCTCATTAAGGGTTAAATAAGTTGCCCAAGAATATATACCATTAATTAATGAAGCAGCTACATTTTGAACTTGAACTTTTCCATTGTCAAAGTCAATACTTGTTAGTCTTGTCATATTTCTATCCTTCCCTGACTCTCCATTTTACTACTCACCATTTAAAATCCTTTTAAAGTGTGGAGATTGTGTCAACCTTAGTTTCCATGGTGACTTCCTTATGCAAAAAGAACCTCAAAATCCTTTCATATCTCTCACCTCACAAAGTCTTTGAGATATAGAAGGACTCTTGTTATTGCTTGGAAGAATTTACTGTGCTCAAGAGATGCTCAGTAAACATTTGATGTTGATGCAATTTAGAATTATTATTTCAGACTTAAAGGAAGCTTTAGAAATCATTTTGCCCCACTTCTACATTTTACACGTCGGGAAACTGAGGTCCAAGAAGGTAGTGGTTTCCCTAAATATGCACAATAATGAAACTGCAGGAATTGCTAATAAAACTTAAGAAACACCACCACAGGAAGAATCACCACTGTAATTGGAAATGCATTTAGATGCATTTTGACCTTCGCCCTGCCTTGAAGTTACTTACAGTTTTCTCCTTTCCTTTTAGACTAAAGTTAGATCTGTCTTGCGTCCTAGTCAATTTGAGGGACAACCATGTACAGAGCCCCTGGTGACCTTCCAACCATGCATTCCATCTAAGCTCTGCCAAATTGAAGAGACTGACTGCAAGAATAAATTCCGCTGTGACAGTGGTAATGTACTTTTGTAAAATGTTCAGTCGCCATAAAAAAAATGACCTGACTAAATCAAAGCTAGTACAACTGACTACTTGTTTACCAAGTAGTAGTGCTAAGGCCCCTACAGAGAGAAGAATGGGAAAAAAATAAAGGCACATTTTTTAAAAAATTGGCTATTAATAAACACGACTGTATATAAGAATAATTGAAAAGAGGTAACAGATTAAAAATATTAATAGTTTATTAAGACAATAATATTGAAATATGTTAGAGGGATGACTTGAAATGATGTAGCAAATTTTCTAGATTGACTCAAAGGAAATTCCAGAAGACAAGATGAAAATGATTTGAATGATGGTAACATTATCTATAAGTCCAATCCTCTTCACATGCATGAAATCTGATATCTAAGTATCATATTATAATCAAATCTGGACTATATTAATCTTATGTATTCTTTTGTTAATTAACAGCTCTTTAATGGTTACCATTTTGAATATTCTACATCAGATTTCTGCAAACTTTTCAGTAAAGGACCAGATGGCAAATATTTTAGATTTGTAGGCCATATGGTCTATCTTGCTACCCCTCTGCTCTGGCACTGTAGCACCAAAGCTGTCCTTGACAGTATATAAACAAATGAGCATGGCCATGCTCCATTAAAATTTTATACAGAAACAGGTCAGTGTTAGCACAGGAGCCCTCATTCACTGACCTCCTGTCTAAACAGTCAATGTGAAGTTACAACTAAATTAGATATCAGATGAATGAACTCTATATCATTTCTATGTACTCTGGGATCTACTGAAAAGTAAAGTATTTATAACAAGATAGCAAATTTCAAATTCCTTAGAAAATTTACCCAAGAGCTTGGAACTAACCCTCCCCCCACAACCCCCACCGCCTGCTTAATAGTCCCTGCCTCTTGCCTTTAGCTTTGCCAACATTTCTGGATGTCAGGCAGAAATTCTGATGTCACACTTTCCCTTTATGCTACCCCAATTCTGGGAAATGAGAGTGGGATTTGGGTAGGGAAATATACATCATGTCTACATGAATAAGGTCATGTCACAAATTGACTTGAAGAGAAAAAACAAACAAAATTTTAATGACAATGGCTGAGGGTGATACAGATGAGAGCATTACATCCAGAATATTAACCAGGTTTCAACTGCATGAATATTTCGGTGAAATTGGCACAGTTGCATTAAAATAGTTTGGAAATAATAATCTAGTTTATATATATTATTAAATTAAACTATAGTTATACAATAATGATAGAATAATTATGTTATCTTTTTAATTTTTTAGTTGTAGATGGACACAATGCCTTTATTTTATTTATTTATTTTTATGTGTTGCTGAGGATGGAACCCACTGCCTCACACTTGCTAGGCAAGCGCTCTACCACTGAACCACAATCCCAGCCCCAATAATTATATTGTACATCATGTACCATATTGAAACTTTCATACATGTTTCCAGATCATCCCACATTTTGGGATGATGCGACAAATTGAGTTAAAATCAAGATTTAGAACTGAAGTACAATTATTTGAAGCTGTAAAGATGGTTTTTGCAACAAATAACCAGGAAAGGCTCCTTTATTACAGTAGATGTTATGAAATTCATTACAAAAGAGTTTTGAATAAGCCAAAAATATTCACAAGCTTGAGACGGCTTTTGATTTATCCATGAATCACCAGGACACAATGACTGATTTCAGAAAAGTTAGCCGTATAAGTACAGCTAGTTTCCAATTCACCAGTTATATGTCCATAGACATTTTTGATGGAAAACACACACATACACACACACACATACACACACACAAATATACACACACAACTCCAAACCCTGCATTATTGCATGTCTGTAGTATTTGGTAAGCAGATAATACCCAGAGCTACCTGCTGCCCAGACCCATTTACCCAGAACTTTTAGATGTCCCCACAGTCCAGCCACTGACTGGTTAGCTCTCAGCACAAGTATGGTTGATATCCTTTCTGATTTAGGGATTCCATGGCTTTTTGTCTTTAACTATTCCATTGTAGGTGATATGCTGTTGTATGGTCCTTTTAAAAACCCACTAATGCCACTGGGAATGAGAATGAGGGTTTGGATGGACAATTGTTTGCCTGACTTGGGATGTTATTTGGCCCTCACTTAACAAGAATTAGTTAAAACTAATACTCTATATTAAACAGACTCACCTTGTTTTATTTCCTCCCTCATTATCACTGTACAGACTATCCCATGAGTCCCCAAGATTAAATATATTATTTTAATGTACACATGGATTTTGAGAATTCTTCATAAGACTAATTCCCATGCCCTGTGAGCACTTCTCTCTCAAAGCCCTAATTTTAAGCATCAAAGACTAGAGAATTTGCAACTGATCAAAAAAAAAAAAAAAAAAAAACAGTGCAAGTATAGCGGGTTTTCGATTGACCAGCAATATGTTCATAGCTATTGATAAAACAGAACAAAATAAAACAACCCTGGTATTGCAGTAACAGAAATCAGTTCAAGTAGGCAGGAAACACCTGAACAACATCTAAAAGATTGCATATTTCCAAGGGTCAGTATATACAGTAATCAACCCCTATCCACAGTTTCACTTTCATGGTTTTAATTTCCCATGGTCAACCACAGTCCAAAAATACTAAAGGAAAAATTAAAGAAATAAACAATTTTTAAATTTTAAATTGCACAATTACATTTTATTCTGAATAGAGTGATGAAATCTTGTGCCATTACATTTTGTCCTGTCTGGGACATGAATCTTCCCTCTGTCTAGTATATTCACACTGTATACACTACCCACCCATTACTTTCAGTTATCAGATCAACTACCAACTCGTGGAAATTCTTGTGTTTACTAAATCATTAATAATGTACTCCAAAGCTCTACAGTAGTGGTGGAAATTCAGATATGTCAAAGAGAAACCATAAAGGGCTTCCTTTAAGTGAAAAGGCAAAAGTTCCTGACTTAAAGAACATTTTAAAATAGTAAGCTGAGGTCGCTAAGATCTAGGATAAGACTGAATCTACTATCGATCAAATTATGAAGTAGGAAAAAGAAACGTGTGCTGATTTGGCTTTCAGACCTCAAATTGCCAAAGTTATCGTCACAGTGTGTGTTAGCTGTTTAGTTAAGATGTAAAAGGCACTTTAGTTAATGTATAGGATTTGACACTATCATAGTTAATATATAGGATTTGACACTATCAGAAATTTCAGGCATTAGCACAGAGTCTTGAAACCTAATTCTCACATATTAAGAAGGCTGTATGTGCACATGCTAGCTAAGATATACTAACTCTATGAATCCTGTAATATTAAAACTGCCCTTCCTCTTTCCCTGCCTATAAGATCTATTTGTGACTTAGAATATCGGTTCCTTTCTGTGTTGTATTCCACTGAGTTTCATTCTCAGCTATGTCCCACTAAGACTATATTACTGCTGTCACATATTCCTAAACATCACTCAAGAGGTATTGCCGCAGTCTGGCTGGGCAAACTAACCCGGGGGGTGACGAGCAACTTGTGAAGATTGATACAGTGGGAGCCGCTTTATTGCAGGACAGCAGAGGTATATATACATAACTAATTACACACAGCTTATCTTAATTAACATAAACTAAATACAGCAGTCAACCAATAAGGAATCCAATGATTACACACAGCTTAACTTAATTGACATAACCTAGACACAGTAGTCAGTCATTAAGGAATCTCTATCATCTTAATGGCTCGCTGGCGTTACTCAGAAACCACTCCTCCTAGCATACTGCCAGGCGCCATCTTGACTTGGTTGTGGTCCTCATCAAGGTATCATCTTTCTTTCATTCCTATACTTGCTAATTGGCCCCTTTCAATATCAAATGAATAGATTTGCTTGTATTCTCCTGTATCCTATGCCCTAAGTACAAAGCTAGGCTAATAACAAACATAACCTGCATGAGTATCCTGACTTCTTCTTAATAAAATATCATGCTTTTATAAGGTGAAACTATACCAAAAATTAGATTCTTCTTAAATTTGTAAGTGCCAGGTTCAAAAAATTTTAAATCCAATGTAGATTCATTTTTCAAATGGAATCATCTCTGTTTCAAATTAAATCATCCATTCTGTTCTTTCCTTTAAAGCAAATTAAAGATACATTGTTGTGTGTGTGTGTGTGTGTGTGTGTGTGCTTTTTAGACGCCTCTTCCAGGTTATAGCTTGAGATTGACAGAAATTCAGTTTCATCTACATTTTCATTTTTGTATGATTATGCTTCTTGCAGGTATAATTATAATAATGGTCTGGACACAATGCAAGATCTTGAATAATCAAAGGAAAATAATTATTTTCATTACACCCTACTTTTTATGTGAAGATTATTAAATAAAAGTCTTGAAACTAAGTGCTTTTTGAGGAACCCCAGCTATCCCACTCCTTGGTATTTATTAAAAAAAAAAAAAAAAAAACCTAAACCCAGAATACTATAGTGATATAGGCTATAGGCATACCAATGTTTATAGCAGCTCAGATCACAATAGCCCAGTCATGGAACCAGCCCACGTGCCCATCAACAGATAAATGGATAAAGAAAATGTGGTATATATTCAAAATGCAGTTTTATTCAGCCATAAAGAATGAAATTGTGGCATTTTCTTGTAAATGGATGAAACTGGAGAATATCATGCTAAGTAAAATAAGGCAGACCCAAAAGGTAAGGGTCCAGATATTTTCTCTCCTGTGTAGAAGCTAGACCAAAATGAGGGGGAAAAGATGCTCAAGGAATCCCATTAAAATAGAAGGAAGATCAAAGGAGTCGAGGAAGTGGGTTAAGGGGGAGGAAGAAACAGTGGGAAAAGAGAGACTCTGCAGAACAAAACTGGCCAAATTGTACTCTGTACATATATTAATATAACAGTAAATTCCACCTTTATGTATATCTGTAAATCACCAATTAAAAATAAATAAATACATAATAAATAAATGGGAGAACAGCGGAGTAGAGGATGAGGAATAGGAAGTTGGAAAAGGGGAGGGAAAAAAGGAGGCACTGGGAACTGAAATGCAGCAACATTTCATGCATATATTATTATATCAAAATGAACCCACTATTATGTGTAGCTATAATGTACAACTAAAAATGTTTTTTAAAGAGACAGGAACACATCCCAATTCATACCACTACGCCAAGCAGAAGTGTCATAAGAAAATTATAAAACAATATCCTTCTTGATTGTGGATAAAAAAAATCTTCAGAAAACTGGCTCTAACAACATATAAATCAATTAGACCTCAATATATCATGCTAGTAAAATAAGGAAAAATATTTCAAAAATTTGATTGAACAGAATACCCAATTTCCCTAACCATTTTAGTCAAAAGAGTAATGCATAGCTATAGTGAGATTCCAATCACCATTTAAACTAGTCAACCAGATAATCATGAGTAAGGCATTTAATTTTTGCCAGTGATACCAGTAACAATGATACACAAAGCAAGAGACTAAAGGATAGGAAAGGGGTTTATCCATCATTGTAGCCAAGGCATTTTAATTTGCACAATATGCAGTTACTCACTGATTTCAAGGATCTTTATGAAAGTCAGCAAGACAAAAAGGGAAGGGAATTATCTGAGTTCATGGAGTTTGTATTATTTGTCAAACTCACTCAGATAACTTGCTGCCTCAGCACTTACTTTGTTACCATGGCACTTAAATTGTCCAAAAATATAATTTCAGATGATAAGTTACATGTATAAAAACAATTATATACAGTAATTATATCTAGGAAAATATACAGTAAGTCTATTTTATCAAATAAATAACAATTTACAGTGAAATAGTGACTTATTTAAAACACACAGATCCCAAGTGTGCAGTTTGATTTTAACAAATGTGCACACATTTGTTTACGACCATATAAACAACCCCCAGTGAAGATTTTGAAAGTTTCCATATGCTCACAAAGTTCCCCTCTTCCTTCTAGTCAATGCCCCACCTTATTCTTGTTCTTGAAAATCACACGGGAATTATACAGCTTGACTCTTATGTGTGCCTTCTTTTGCTCAACATAAATCTTTAGAGATTCAGCCATGTTATTCTTGGTACCAGTAGAGTGAATGAGTGAGTGCATGTGTGTGTGTAAAATAATATTTTTTTCAATAAAAAGAAAGACTCAAGCCAGATGTGGTGGTGCACACCTGTAATCTCAGCAACTTGGGAGACTGAGGCAGAAGAATTGCAAGTTCAAGGTCAGCCTCAGAAGATTAGCAAGGCACTAAGTAACTTGGTGAAACCCTGTCTCAAAATAAATAAAAAGGGCTGAGGATGTGGCTTAATGGTAAAATACCCCTGGATACTAAAACAAAAGAAGCAAAAAACCAGGGGCCCAGCTTTACCATCTGAATGAAAAGAAAATTCTGAACCTACGGGAAATTCTATTTCTATAGAGCATGATCTCTACAGCAGGTTCACCATGATGAGACTGCAGAATTACTTTTCTTTTTAAAAATAATGAGAACTGTTGGCAACTAAATCATTCTATGGAGACTCGTATAGACTCAAAATCTAAGGGAAAATATCAGTATATCACTCCCTTTCCATACGTACTAAACTGTTATGAAAAGTAATAAAAACTTCTGTCACCCTTCCCTTGAAATGTAAAATGTTTGTGTCTCAACTTAATACACACTTTCTTAAATGTGAATGTGTTACAACACTGTTGTGTGCTTTCCTTGACCAGGGCGATGTATTGCCAGCAAGTTAGAATGCAATGGAGAAAATGACTGTGGAGATAATTCAGATGAAAGGGACTGTGGAATAACAAAGGCGGTATGCCCACGGAAGTATAATCCCATCCCCAGTGTAGAGTTGATGGGCGCTGGGTATGTAACATTTTTTTATCATTTGGGGGAAAGGTATCTCAGAACAAGTGAGCTACAGGCAGCAGTGCAACAGTGAGCCACATCATTAGCCATCTTCCTCATTAACTTCTTACAACTTCCACCAGCCCTGTCTGATACTGTGTTATCTATCATGTTCAGGCAGCATGTGGTCCCAATCCTTACTGCTAGGGTATAAAATAATTTGGAAATGTTATGGGTTCTTTTTCTTGTTCTAATTCACACACATGTCTCTGAAAGCCCTGTTATGGATCAGGTAGATTAGCTGGAGACAAGCCAGTCTAGGAGTCACCAGCATGGAATCTTCAGACTAGGTCTTGAATAGATAAGTAACCACTTAAAAATACTAGGAGTAAATTGAGAAGGAGGGTATCAGAAAAGTCTGAATGAAAAGAAAATTCTGAACCTATTGGAAATTCTATTTCTATGGAACATGATCTCTACAGCAGGTTCACCATGATGAGATTGCAGAATTATGAGTGAGTATGTTGAGGTCACTCACTCATAATTAGGAGAGAAGTATAGTCAGTCCTTTGGTATAAGAAGCAAGCCCAAGAATCAATAACAGGAGACAAAGGCAGAAAGAAAGGAGTTGGGGAAACATAGAAAATATGAAAGAAAAAAAAAAGTAAAAGTAAAATTTTTATGAATATGACTAGGGATGCGTAGATAGGCCAATATAGTCTAAAGACAGAAGTTGAGACCATATGGTAATGTTTCAAATCTACCAAGTAGTAAATGGTGAAAACAGGATTCAAATCCAGACTTCAAAATTCAGGTTATTATTTCTTTCATTTCATGCTGATTCAGGAAAAAATCTGCTTAAAGACAGAAAAATACTGGGAAAATCTTCAAGAGACCACACAGCCCTGTGTTTGAATAGAGCCCAGAAATTCTAATTTTCCTGTTTCAGGAATATTCAGTCATGAAGGGCATTGGGAGTTTAGCAAGAATTTCCAAATTCATTAGGCTGAGCCAGTACTTTGGGATAGTTTAGGAGATAAAAGAGAAATCAGGGGAAACAGAAGAGTTGAGCCTTCGTTTGAATCATTAAAAAAAAAAAAAAATCAGTAAGGCCAGTCTCCAGTGCCCTCCATTCCCCCTTTCCATTTGGGCTGAGGGCGGGCAGGCTGCTATCAGCATCTATTGCTTCATACTGGACTTTAAAAATTTAAGTCTTCACTTATGTTTCCAGAGTTGCATAATATGAAATCTTGAGACCTGAAGAACAAACAGCCACAATTGTAAATACAACCTCATTTGATTTAGAATAAAAGCCGGAAGCCATTGACCAAACTCAGAGGCACCAGTAAAGGAAAGATATTAGTATGGAAGTAAGAGGAGCTGGGTTGTAGGCCTGGTGTTCCAGTAACTCACTACATTACAGCCAAGTTACTTAACATCTCTGGGCCTCAGTTTTCTCATCTGTATTTTGGAAGGTTACAAACTGATTTGAGTTTCTATTCTAAGAGTTTCTAATTACTGCTGAATTCACTGAGAGCACTTCAACATACCTTTTTTTTGTTTGTTTTTTTAATCAATGTGTAGAAATGATTTCCTTCTTTTCCTTTCTCTGGAAGAAATCCTCAGCCAAAAACTCCTACTAATAATCACATTTTCTAATATTCTTACTGGTGAAAGGAGACATTACAAACTTACCTCTTGTTCTGTGGGTCTAGACTCTGCAGTTACAGATGGGAAGAACCACATGCTATGTGTACTTTGGCAGGAGGACTGTGTGGCCTTCTGCCAACCTGAGAAGTTGTCCCAAGGATTCTCAGAAATGAGCAAAAACTGCTGGCTCAGGGACAGCCAGTCCTCTCCTTGCTCTGCAGGGACTGAGAATTAAGAGTTGCTTAACTGTAATTTCTTTCTCATCTGCTGGCCTTAGAATCTTTGCCTCCTCTCCTGCCCTGCCCCCGCACATTTCAATCCACAAAAGATATCCTAATGTGGCTGTTCCTTTTATACAATGACATCACTCCAAGAAAAATTTTAACAAAATATACCAAAATCCCTACATTGCCAACATTAGTCACCAGGTCCTACATCTGAATTAAGAATCTGGCAATAATAGTATGCTGTTTGTTTTTTTATCAGGCTCATTCAAGGTGCAAATATAAATGTACACATATTCGTGTGTATGTGTATGTGTAAATATGCATGTTTATATATGTATAATTTTTAGTTTATATATTTTTAATTAGTAGTAGAACCCTTGCCTAACATTTGTAAGGCCCTGTATTCAATCCCCAGCTCAGACAAAAATAAAAACTAAAAAAGTTACAAAGTAAACAGGCAAAGAAAATTAAATAAAAGCACTTGAGAAAGTAAAGGTATTACATATCACTATGTATTTGAAACATGAAAATATTTAAAGTCAACAGAAACATCTCAGAGGGGAGGGCAAGAGTGAAGCTAAAAACTGTTCCATAGTTAGCTCCCCAAAGATTCCGTGGGCAGGCCCTGATGGAGCCTCCTTCATCAGAATCCTATCTCCAGACTCTCTGCAGGTGGCTGCTAGCTTCATAGATTCCCCCCAACCTGGGAGCCACTTTCCTCAAATAACAAACAGAAGTGCATAGTATGAGGTCTTATAAGACCAAGAGTTCTTTTTTCCACATCAATTCCTCTTAACTTAGAAAATGCAAAAAATGAGTCTCAAGCACACTTGTGTCTGTCATGTGAATTTAAGCAGTTTGGAAAGTTCTTCCCAGATCAACTTCTCATACTTTCTCCTTCAAACACCCAGTGATAGAAATTCAAATATGAATGGAAGCACATCTCATGTTGTGCTTGCAGTTCCTGAATTGTGAGGTGCATCTTGAAGAACACAAAAGAATCGTTCCTTTTTTTAAAAAAAAATTAATTTATAATGCACATATTATACAATTCAGCCACTTAAAGTATAAAATTCAATAGTGCTTAGTGTAATCAAAGACATATGTAACTATCACAATATTATTTTAGAATATTTTCATACCTGTATTCATCCACACACACGTGCCCCTAAAAAAAACCCTCTGCACCTGTTTTCCAAAATGGTTGCATCATTTTACATTCACACTAGTTATGCTTGATTGAAATCTATTTCTCCAAATCTCCACCACAGTTCGTTTTCATCCATCTTTTTGATTACAGCCATGTAATCAAAATGCTGTGAAATGCTACCTCACATTGTGGTTTTGATTTGTATTTCTTGAATAACTAATAACATTGAGCATCTTTTCATGTACTCTTTGACAATTTACATGTCTTCTTTAAAGAAATATTCAGTTTTCTGATCCCTTACCGAATTTTTAACTGAATAATTTGATTTTTTATTATTGGTTTCTAAGAGATTTTATCTATTTTGAATACAAGATACTCAGCAGACATATGATTTTACGAATACTTTCTCCCACTGTGAGTTGTCTTTTCACTTTCTTAAAGGTGTCTTTGGAGCACAAAAACATTCAATTCTGATAAAGTTCAATATATTAATTTCTTCTTTTGTAGTATGTGCATTTAGTGTCATATCTGAGAAGGCCTTCTTCAATCTAAATTCACAAAGATTTAATCCTATGTTTACTTCTAAGAATTCTGTAGCTTTAACTCTAAAATTTGAGTTTCTGGTCTAGTTTGAATGAATTTTCCATATCATATGAGAAAGGGTTCCAACTTCATTTATGACTTGATATGACTTTCAAGCTGTCCCACCACTCTTTGTTAAAAATCAGTTTCACCTCATCAAGTTTTCTTGGCACTCTTGTTGAAAATCAACTGACTAAACATGTGGATTTATTTCTGGACTCTTAATTCTTCCCCATTGATTAATATGTCTGTCTTGACGCTAGTACCACACTCTCATGATTACTCTGGCTTTAAAGCAATCTTTCTACCAGGAAATGTGTTTCCTCAAAATTTGTCCTTCTTTCTCAAGATTGTTTTGGCTTTCTTGGATCTCCTATATTTTCAGTTGAATTTTAAGATTAGCTTATCAATTTTTAGAAAATAAAGGCAATTTGGATTTTGATAGGTAATATTTTGAATCTGTAAGTCAATATGGGAAGAACCTCCATTTTAACTAAAATCTTTTATCCCATGAATATGCAATGTCTTTCTATTTATTGAAATCCTATTTAGTATCTTTCAACAGTTTTTCATACTTTTAAGTATATAGATTTTAGGTTACATTTTAAAAATACATCCCTAGGATTTTATTTCTTTTAGATACTATTATAAATAGATTTTTTTTCTTAATTTTATTATTGGCATGTTCATCACTATTATATAGAAATATATTTGATTTTTTTAATATTCAATATTTTGAATAGTAATTCTGCTTATTTATGATGTTTATTGTGGAATTTCAGTACACACATACACTGTGTATTAATCAGATCTGGGTAATTGGCCTGTCTATCATCTCAGACATATAACATTTTTTTAGGCTAGGAACACTCAAAATCTTCTCTACTATTTTGAAATATTCAATTAGTTGTTGCGAACCATAGTTACCATATTGTGTTATAGAACATTAAAAGCTATTTCTTCTATACCACCATACTCCTGGACTCATTAACCATCCTTTCTCCATCCCTCTGTCCTCCTAGGCTCTGGTGACAGCTATTCTAGTTTCTCCTTCTTTGACATCAACTTTAGCAATCCCCATACAAATTAGAACACGTGGCATTTGCCTTTCTGTGCCTGCTTATTTTGCTTAACATAATAGCCTCCAGTTCCACCCATGTTTCTGCAAATGACAGAATTTTACTCTTGTGGCTGAATAATATTCCCTTGTGCAAATGTACCATATTTTCTTTGTTCATTCATCGGTCAGTAGACACATGAGTTGATTCTATATATTTGCTATTATGAATGGGACTCCAATAAACATGTGACTGCAGTATTTCTTTGACACACTATTTCAATTCCTTTAAATATATGCTCCACAATGGGATTGATTTATGATGTGATAGTTCTATTTCTAGTTTTTTCAGGAACCTCCATATTGTTTTTCATAGTGGTTGTGCTAATGTACATTCCCATGAACAACATATATGAGTTCTCCTTTCTCTATAGCCTTGCCAGCATTTGTTATTTTTGTCTTTTTTTATAATCGCCATTAGAACTAGATTAAAATGATATCTCATTGTGGTTTTTATTTTAAGAACTTTAAATTCTTTGTGTGTGTGTGTGTGTTTACATCAATGTGATTATATTAGTTGAGAATTCACAAGCACTTTTATCAGCCAATTATTTATTTATTTATTTATTTTTATATTTATTTTTTTTTTAGTTTTTGGGTGGATACAATATCTTTATTTGTTTTATGTGGTGCTGAGGATCGAACCCAATGCTTCATGAATGCTAGGCAAGCGCTCTACCACTGAGCCACAACCCCAGCCCCAATAATTTATTTTTAACATTATTTTACAACTTCAAAAATTATCCCTGCATTTCTTGGGTAGAATGGTGCTATTAGTTGATTAGAATAAGTGTCTAAATAATTGATTGAATTTTTTACTTTGAATCCAAATGTGTAATAGAAGATCACAAAAGTCTCACCTAGTGACCTAACTTCTTGATGTCTTCCCAACCAGGTGAGTCTGTCTTTTCTCACCTCTGTAAGGTAGTTATGGAAGATAATATTGCAGCCTCTGAGAGGGGTGAAATCTGTTAGTTTCATTTTGCCTTTTGAGTTACTACTATAGATGTACAAAATAAATAGACATGTAGGTGGTAGATGACCTTCTTGAGTCCTCTCAAGTACCCCACCACCACCAGAACAGACAGGTGTACCTATGGATCAGGAAGGAGGGAGGCCGGGAGGAATATTCCTCTGCTACATGGAATTTCCCAAAGGTATTCTCTAACTATGTTATATGCTCTGTGGAATACAAGGTCATCTCATCAAATGTATTTGAAAACAGAAAATTCATATTTTTAAAGGCTTTGGCATGACAGTTAGAAGATATATTTATCACTACATAATACAACATTACTAAACTTTTTGACAAAAACTATTTATTTACAGAATGCATATTACAATCTCTATGAAAATTAGTAGCATCTTGAAGAAGTTTTTCATCTACCAAAAAGAACTTCTTAAATGTGTGATTGAGTTAAACTTCTTAAATTTGTGCTGAGTTAATTAACCTCTTTGTGCCTCAATTCTTCATCTGTAAAATGATTGTAATAATCGTATATGTATATGTATATCATATGGTTATAATACATATTAAATGAGTTAATATTTGCAAAGCAATTACTATAAGCATTTGTTAAATAAATCTTAAATATTATAATGAGCAATTGATAATAATAATAATTTATTCTAATTTCATTACCATGTTGATATTACTATCTCATTACTACCTCTCTATAAGAATTCCTTTATTGTAGTGTACTTAAGGGAGTGGCCCCAAGTGATACTCATTATTTTATAGTCTAATTACAAAGTTTGCACTGGCTTTTTAAGGCATAAAAAATTATGAATTCAGTTTTTATTTTATATTGAAAATCTAGAAAAAAGAGAATTTTATTTAGTCATGGGACAGAGTTTGGGCTTTTATCCCTCTTTGGATGCTTCACCATAGATTAGAAAAAAATGGGTTTTTCTTCCAGTCATTTGTCATGAGTCAAAATTGTTCAGGAAAAGAAATTTCTTTCATATATCCAAGGTAAATTTTAAAGATTGGTTTACATCTATTGAATTTTTGAAAATTACTTTGTTTCTAGGTTTCATTTTCTGGCAGGAGAGCCCAGAGGAGAAGTCCTCGATAACTCTTTCACTGGAGGAATATGTAAGACTGTCAAAAGCAGTAGAGCAAGTAATCCATACCGTGTTCCGGCCAATCTGGAAAGTGTCAACTTTAAGGTATGCTAGTCTATCATGGTGGCAGCTCCACCACCATGATTATAAACTAAAATTATAATGAAAAATTAGTGAGAAATGAACAGAATAGAAAGGTAGTGAACAATTTTAAATTGCCTATTATGTGTGTGTATTTAATTGTTCCATAACCCAATGAGGTTAGTGTTATGGTAAATTTACAGATGAAAATAACCTAAGACATCTAAACTTAAAAAAAACTATAGAAAGAAGTGGATTAGAGGGCCAAGTCCAGGTTTCCCTGATTAAAATTCATCTTTTCTCCAATAAACATAGACCTCTAGCATATCTCACATAGATAAAAGGCTCAATTTATTCCGAATTTTCTCATATCATAGCTAGTTTTCTTCTATAACAATGACATTTAGACATAAGAAAGTGTTGGGAACCCAAGAAAAATCAGGAGTAATCCAAGTATGATAAACTAATTCTGCTTACCTTCCTTTCTATTGTATTAGTTGGTTTGGTTGTTTTTGCTTGTTTTTCAAAGTAGCAATGAGCTACTGCCTGTTGCAACTGCCTGTTCTCAGAATCTACCCCAGTGCTTCACATGTAAATGCTCCATACTTTTTATGCTAAGGTGAGCAAACTACTTAACTTGTGTTAAGTGAGACAGAAAATACATGATTTTAATTGTGAAATCCATGCATATAAATGTGACATAGTGGAGAAAGTTTCAAAAGATCCAACTATAGTTTTTGACAGTATGCGTTCACCAAGCAGTCATTCAACCCTTCCTTTAAAGAGACCTTCTTATACATGTAAATATAGGCATTTTTAAATTTGATACACTCAATTTAAAATCATCTAATATACATAAATGAATTTTGGGAAGGTGTGGGGCTCTACTGTCATATTTAAATACCTCTGGGAAGACGAATGATACTACTATTAAGATGCATTATATTCAACAGGATTTGCAGACAGAGATAAAAAGTAAACATTTATATATAATGTTACTCTACTGGAAGAATCTTTCTAGTTCCTAAACAACCAGCTCATAAGCTCACTTTCAAAATACAACATTTTTTTTAATGCACCTACCTGCTATTTCTTGCACCTCCTTTCAAAAGTGGCCCTGGATTTCTCTATTCCCTTTACAAAGTAGCATACCCATTATCTACACTGTCTGTTCCTTCTTCTCTTCCCCACATCTGTTTGATCAATGACTTCTGTTAATTTTCCTCCTCAATATCTTTGCAACACAATCTTTGTAAAAGATGGGCACTCTGAATATTTCACTCATTTACTTCATATTTATTAAGAACTCATAATATTATAATATACAAATTCTTGCCTTTAGAATAAAATCCAAATACTTTTGGAGGGCATACAAAATTTGGCTCCAATGTCCCAGTCTAATTTTTCACTATTGCTCATGTGTAGACCCTCCTGCCCCACCATAATACATACAGTCAGATTTTCTCTGAGCTTTTGTTCAAGATGCCCAGTGCTCCCTGTTGACACACTAACATCTTTTTCTTTGGTGTGTCATATATTTTCTTCTTGAGAGCAATTTGTAAAACCAAATATTTGTAATCTGAGTTTTTTAAAGAGATATTAAGAAAATGTAAGCAATGACATATTTAAATAAAATAATTTCATTTCTATGTTATTAACTAAGAGCTTTACTTTGTGAACACTTTAAATGTGAATTAGCATACACTACAATATCTGAAAGTCACACTGAACTCTTGACTATATTTTACTGGTAACTATACTCTTTTGCAGCTGTGTTATTTTGTCTTAACTAATTTTGCAAGTTATTTAATGGTGACAAGTGGTTTATCTCTCAGTGCCTCTTACTTAATATTAAGTATTTCAAAACAAGATTTTTCCATTGCAAATCAGACAAGTATATTTAACATTAAGAAGTACTCTTCAATTTTGAAATTTTAGAAATTCATCTATTATCTCTTCATACCTGCATAATCATAATAGTTTTACTTCTTCTTGAGAAATTCACTTTTCTACCCTTAGCTCAAGTGGGTCCTACCAGGTATTTTTTTCCTCTTACTCCTACTTCAAACCAAGTAATACTATTAATCACCCACCGGGCAGAACCAATTGATCAACAGTCTTCCATTTCAGAAACATGGCCAGTAGAGTACTGAAGTTCAAGATCTCAATAAAGCAAAGAGCACACAGGTAGAATGAAAGCAGGATCAGACAGAATCTCTCCCCACTTTTGCTAGTTATTATTTTTCTGAAAGGTACCTTAAGTTACACTGAACACTGAATCAAAGGCACAGACTAAAACTAGCCTTCATTGTTTATCATGAAGTCCCAGTTTAGGCACTGTTTCAGGAAATATTGCTCCTCTAGATCTTATATTTATCTGTGGAATCTGATTGGCAGCACAACACATACCACATTGCATTAAGTGTTTGTGGTTATCACTCTCCCTAACTAAATGATTACTCCCTGAATGTAAGCACTAACATTATTCCTTGTCCTCTATGAGTCTTCAACGAATGCACGTTGAATGCACAAATGAATGAGTGATCATTGCATTTGATATTCACAAGCAGCTTTAACATTTCCCATGTTATACTTTACTTCATATGGATCATTTCTCAGGTACAAACTGAAGAAGATGACCTGAAGACAGATTTCTACAGGGATTTAATTGATTTTGAAAAAAATGAAAAACAACAAGCCTTATCATCAGGGGCAAAGGAGAATTCTTTTTATGTACCAATTTTTTATTCCTCACAAAAAAGTACAAATGTCCAACATAACTCAGGCTTCAAACAAGCCATTCAGGCCTCCAAAGCAAAGGTAATACAAATCTTTTCTTATCTGTTCATTCTTTCTTGAAAAATTAACACCAATGAAAGTAATCAGGTGCAAAAAGGGGAGAGTTTATATATCCTAACAGTTGAATTTCTAACACACACCTCAATAGATGTCCTTTTTGTTTTGCTTTGTAAATACCACTTTAAAAGTTACAGAAGATATAGCTATCTATGATAGATAGATGATAGATAGATAGATAGATAGATAGATAAATGCTTCCTTTTAACATTTGATTGTGTTTTTGTTTTCTATTTTCTTCATTATGTCATTATAGATGTGTTTCTTATAAATCACATGTAAGAAAACTTTGTCTTTTTGTGGAACATAAAAATCTCAAGCCTTTATTAGGGAAATTCAGCCAAGGTACATTAGTGTACTCGCTGAAACATTTGATCATACTCTTTCCATTTTTAATTTTTTTTCATCTCACTGTGTTTGAACACAGTGTATATATTTTAGTTTTCTTACTTTTTCTGTTTTTTCAAATTTTTATCTATTCCCATTTGTCCTGTTGGTCATTTTAGAACTTCTACTGTACTTTTAAGTTCTGGGATACTGACCCCACCCTTTTTTAAGTATGTTTTTACTATATTATTTGCTTATATTTTTATGCAGTGCCTAGGACCTAACCCAGCACCTAGCGTGTGCTAGGCAAGGGCTCTACTGCTAAGCTACAACCCCAGCCTCCTAACTCTTTTCTTGAGGGTACATTTGCTTTCTTATTCATAGGCTTCCAATACCATAGCTTTATTGAAGTAGTTAAAAACCTTCACATTCTAAGCTGTTCCTAGAGATTGTTTTGTATTTTTTTAAATATTATGTGTATTAGTTTGTGTTTAATTCTGGTTCGTTTATAAAGATTTCTCATATAATGCAATGTGCCTAACAATAATCTATATTTTATATTTGTGTAATATATAATATATGTATCTATGTATGTGCCACCATTTCCTTTACTCTCATCTTCTCTTTCCTGAGATCTCTATTCTCATTCAGTTGCCATTTTTTTAGTGTTTTCCTCAAATAGGATACACGTGAGGTTTATTTCCTAAGTCCTTATATATCTAAAATTATTTGCCTTTTCCCTGAGCAATGAAGATACAGAATATACTGGTTGTATCATAGTCCTCTTCTCTTGACAGTAGATGATATTCCATGGTCTTCTGATTTCCATTGTTGTATAGGAAAATAATATGAAAAGCTGATTTTTTGTTGTTATTTTCACTGTCTGGAAATTTATGAGAATTTATTTTTTACACTTAGAATTTAGGGTATGTCTACGTATTAGATTTTTCCTATTTTCCTTGCCAAAAGCTTTTTACAAAATACTTTCAATGTATAAGGAAATCTTTGTTAATCTTACTTCATCTATTTCACTTTCTCCATTATGGCATGTGAAATCTCTTAAGTATATCCTGCAACTCTTAAATTTTATAGGAAACAGGTTTCTGTTAGGAATTTTCATACATTTGCAAAGGTCTTTTAAAATAGTGTCATTCTCCACTACAACCACCATTCTGAGTAGCATTTGTTTTTTCCCAAGAGATGAATTAGGAGAGTGAGCTTTGAATTTTAGAACCTGGTAGTGAGGAGGGAAAAGGATAGGTACTAACACTGGCGCCAATAAGACCAGCAACTGGAGGGACCATTATATGGCTCCTGCTACCTTTACCATAGAGTCCCTCATACTTTATCATTGACACATTTATCTACTTATATCAAAATGGGACCTTATATCACCTCACAGATAATTTTCCTAAGCATTCCATTTATCTTCAAAGAAACCCTAAGAGGTAATCAGAATAGATATCATATTACATTTTGGTAGAAGAATAAGTTGAAGTATATGTATTTATTTTTAATTCAATAAACACTTATTAAATACCTACTTGTGGAAGACAGTGCACTTCAGTAAAGACGCTGTGTGCCTAGGGGTGTAGCTCAGTGGTAGAATGTATGTTTAACATGTGTCACGCCCTGGGTTCAATCCCTAGAAAAAGCACCACCCCCAAAAAGAAGCTAACTGACTTTCAGTGATCTTGGCAGTCAGTAAATGTCAGAGTTGGGAACTGAACTCAGTTATTCTGACTTTTATCCATTGTTCTTATACATTACATTACATTTCAATATATTTGATAATCATTCATTTATTTATTCTTAATTTTAACAAACTGTGGAAAGAATACAGCCCTGGTGATAGGCATGTAGAAAATGAGAATAAAATAGATTCCATTAATAACATATTGTTCCTTTAGTTTCAAATGGACTATGGTTATATACTTCCTCCAAATTTAGCTAAACTTATTAGTAAGACAAGTGAGTGCCAGTATCACCAGGAAGTGGAAATACACATCTCTATGAGCTTCTTTTAATCTACTGATTTGGAATATCTGAGGCTGCACATGTCTGGTCCTTTGTCTTTTCTTTTTTTAAATCTCTGATACAGCATTCAGGACTCAAAGTAACTACCTACAAGTAGATCCAAAAATGGGAGGGAAATGGAGATGCAAAAGAGACACAGATGTAGGTATCAGTCCTGACATTAAGACATGTTCACTGAGTTGGTTTATAAATGTTTTAAACATTCTAAAGAACAGGTGTAAAACCCTCATTTGTATATAAACAGGCATTTTTTGATCCCTAAGAATTTTCTCCCAAGCAGAAACATGCAGGGTCATTTGCAGTATCAAGTCAGAACATATGAAACTACTGTCATTCAACAATTTTGTCTTACAAAATTGTCACCCAAAATCATGACTGCTATCTTCAATTAGGTCTGACTAGAATAAGGAAATCTTAGTCTAGATGAAAATGCTACTGCAACTCCTCTCCATCTTCAAGCAGTGAAATCAGCATGCCATGCACTTGAAATTTAATCCAAGCCCTTCATTTGATCTTAATGCTTTATTTTATTGGATGAAACCAATGACATTTTTGCCGGGGGGAGGTGAGCAAAGAATCTATTAAAAAAAAATAACAATCAGCTCTGTAAGATCCAGGGCTTTTCTGATTTACAAAATTGAAACTACATAGATATGACTAAAATGCAGTAAGATCTCACAAATGATTAAATGCATGTTTTTAATAAACTGCCATAATAGTATTCTTTAGTCTAAAATAGCCAGTTCCAGCTATCCCATATTGGTGAGAAGAATAGTATGCCTGTGCTTGTGCTAAGTTTAATTTGTATTTTCTATCATTCCATTTTTTTAAAAAATGGAAATATTGAACCTCCCATAACAGGCATTTCAGATACCCAGGGAGATTATATACTTCTCTCTAAAAGCAAAAGCCCCTCTAACTGTCGAAAACTATGGTTCTATCACAAAATTCAAGTGTTAAAGTTAAAAATAGAATTAATGGGTACTTACTAAAATGTGAGCTCCACAAGGGCACAATCTTTGGTTACCTTGTGCCTTCTACATCCATAGTATTTGATGGCTGAAAAATAAATTAATGGAAGGCAAAAAGGTAAGAAGGAGAAAGGAAAAATCAAAGAGAGGAAAATGAACCCTGAGTCTTTTGATCCTTGTGATTTTCTTTCTTTTGCTTTCACAGTCATTTGGTGCCATAATTATAGTATACAGAAAGATGGCTGCTTAATAATTACCAGTCATAGTTCTTTTGTTAAAATATGGTCATTCATTCTGTTACTATTATTCAAACATTACAATGTGTTATAATTGAAAGACCAAATAAAGTATCTATTTTTTTTAATAAGCTAGTATATGTGAGTATTCTCATAGGCCTCAATGGCCATTTAGGACAATATAAAGAAAAGAGATTTTATTTATTTATTTATTTATTTATTTATTTATTAATTACCGGGGATTGAACGCAGGAGCGCTTAACCACTGAGCCACATCCCTAATTCTTTTTATTTATTTTGAGACAAGGTGAGGCTAAGTTGCTTTGGGAACTTGCTACATTGCTGAGGCTGGTTTCTAAATTGTAATCCTCCTGGAGTCCTCAGGAGTCAGGAGTCCCTAGGATTACAAGCATGCCCCACCGTACCTGGCAAGAAATGAGATTTTAAGTGTTATAACAACCATCTAATCCTAATTAACCTAACAAAAAAAGAAATGATGAAACAAACAAAAATCCACATCTATTTTTGCCTATGGGTGGAGGATACAGAATATAAAAAAAAATTTTGTTTCAAATTCACCCCTAAATCATTTGGAATCACAGCATTTTATCATTGAAAGGAAGTGTAAAGTATTCCTTGGGGCACTGCCCTCATCTTGTCACTGGACAACAAAAGTTTAGAAAATTTAAATGCTTTTTTCCAGTTAGTGATGAAGCTACACAGTTGCCAAACTCCACTTGAATCTTTATACAATCATTTTTCAATTGTTTGCATTAGTAAGGCATTCTAAATAAAAACTCAGTGGGGATGCAGCCATGGTGGGCAATCAAGAGAGAAAGATTGATCATTTCTTTTTTGGTACAGAACATAGGCCTCAGTCACATAGTTCCCATTATTGAGATAATCTCATCTGTTTAGTGCTCTGAACATCTCAGGAAAAGGTACTGGAACATAAAATGAAAATTATAATTGTGTATGAGAGAATATGCAATAGAGTTAAAATTGTTTTCATATTGTGGTAGGAAACAAGCTTAATGATAAATTAATGGCACCTAAAAGCTTTAATTACCTTTGATCTTCCTTTTATTTTTATTTCTTAACTTTTTTTAATTTCATTTAGGATTCTAGTTTTGTTAGGATCCATAAAGTGATAAAGGTCTTAAACTTCACAATGAAAGCAGAGGATCTGCAGCTTTCTGACGTCTTTTTGAAAGCCCTTAACCATCTGCCTTTAGAATACAACTCTGCTCTATACAGCCAGATATTTGAGAACTTTGGGACACACTACTTCTCCTCCGGCTCCCTGGGAGGTGTGTATGACCTCCTCTACCAGTTTAGCGGTGAAGAGCTGAAGAACTCAGGTATGTTTCCCTCAGCCGCCCCCTCCCCTTTTTAAAGTGGTAGGATGGCATGCAATCCATTTTTTTCTCCTACTCTGCTGTTTGAATAATTCTTCTTTGACTTTATTTAGACCTGCTTTATTTCCAGAATGATATGAAGAACAATAAAAAGTTCATACTCAGATAAATTAAAAATAGAGAATTGTACCAAAAAATAAGTATGCCTAGTCTCTGTGACTGGGCATTGTATTTGTCTCTGAATTTTCTGACATCTCAAAGCATCATAAGCTACACAGCAGAAGATAAATAAAAGGGAGAGGTTTTCCAATACCACAAGGAAAACAAAGGTTGTCTTGTAACTCCACTCTGAAGATAATTTACTTATAGCATTTTTATTGCAGATAATTATATAGAGCAACATTTATAGCGAATTCAATAGCAATCATTTATTTTTAATGATTTTAAGTAAAAGTCAAGGGCATAAAGTGGAAGAACAATAAGGAAACTGAAAAGGGACTGAGTTACTACAGGCCCGTACATACTACTAATGATAGAACATGAAACCAAATTTAAAGTTATTTTATTTGAGGAAAGGTTACAACTTCATATCTTGAGGTTTGGAGCAGACATTTTTGTGCTTGCATATAAAATAACAACATAAACCACGCCTCTTTCTTAAATATTATCTGAAATTGTCAATATTAATTATCATTATAGTTTAAGTTCCTTTGGATTATTATTTTTTTCTAGCTCCTGTGTGAAATGACCAAGGGTCCTTGTGATGACTATCATGTTTCTCTTAAGAACAAAACTGGGGGCCTGGGATCGTGGCTCAGTGGTGGAGTGCTTGCCTAGCATGTGTGAGGCGCTAGGTTCAATTGTCATGTACCACATATAAAAATTAAAAAAAAAATAAAGGTCCATTGACAACTAAAGAAAAAAAGGTTTTCTTAAAAAAAAAAAAAGAATAAAATTGGGAAACTATGATAGCCAGACCTGAACTCATCAATTCCCCTAAATAAATCAAAATTATTCATCATTAAACTTTTATCAAAAAAAAAACCCAGAAATTTATTTTAAAGTACAGTAACAGGCTAGCCCTTGGGTCAATACAATTTTAGTCCCTCTGTTCTTATATCTCACTGTGGCAACTACTAATGTTTAATATGGCTTCCCTGAGTCCCTCCAAATCTTAAGGTACTTCATAATCTATTTCCTAAGAAAAATACTGGGAAAAATATCTTTCAGAAGGATTTTTAATAAGAAGGTTTTAATAAATTTTTATCTGACATGTTTACTAAAATCCAAACTATTCATGCTAAGTTTATTTAACTATTATATTATTATTATAATATTATTTTATTTAACTATTATACTGTCTGCCCCTCGAGTTCCATTTCTTTATTCATTCTGCTGTAGCCAAGCTTACATAATGAATTTGATGTCTTCAGCCACTGCTATAGTATCAATGCTAATCCTGAGCAAAAAAGTCTGGGGCAAATCCTAGCGCCTTTTAGATGCTGTGGAGCCCAGACAATAATTTCCTGTTTGATGAGTATACTCACATATTCAAAGCAAAGCCTTTAAAAGCTTAGAGATCAGGTCAGTTAAAGAACTGTGTAGATCTCTAATCAACCACCTAATGTTTCAATAGGTTAAGACTGATAGGCTAAACTTTACAGCTAAAACACTCTCACCTTCCCTCTCTTTCTCTGTAAATAGAGATTGACTATTAGACATACATGATGAAGGAAAAAGAGAGTTTGAGGTGCATTGAGTCACTGAAATTAATGCTCATACATATTTATATACCCATGTACACACCAGATATGCATAGACACATGCTATACATAAATTCACACTATATATATTACTTATAGTGTGCATATGAACAGAATATGTATGTGTGTATATTTAATATACTTTACAACATTATATTCAATATTCTTAGATTCTGAATATTCTTATGTTCAGTAAATAGACATATTATACCTATACGTACATAGATGTTTCTAAGTCACAATAATAATGTGGCTGTGCAATTTTAATTGTAGTTAAAATGAAGCACATTCAAATAGAAACAAAGTTCAATAAAATGGAATTAAACAATGGGTGGGCTTGCTTGCTTCTGCAACATATATTCTGGTCTTCTCTCTTTTCTCTCTTCCTATTTCTTCACCCTTTACCTAGACATAATATGAAACTAGAGTATAGAATTAGTTTCTGTTATACTATATTCAATGAGCATTACACTCTTTGCCTTTGAGAAAGTTACTTGAAACTTGAATGAAATAAAACAAAATTGCTTTTTGTTTTCATTCCTTGATTTATTCCTCTATTATTCAGTGTCCCATAGTCATGTTAAAACCTTGAATAAAAGTTGACATTTCTTCAGTGTGCAAGGTGAAAAGAATTTCAGAAACACAGTGAAAACATTAAGCAATTAAAGTATCATACAAAATGGTAATTTAAAACTTTTGTTGGGAAGTCATCTTCTGCTCTGAATTTGAGGTGAAAAAGTATTCACACTACTATGTATTAGGATGATATTTTGACTAACCCTATTGACTTAGAGTACCTGAGGACCTGATAGAAATACTGATCCCTGTGTTGCAGCAGAGGGACACTTAGTGTGAAATTTGGATATTGGAAGCTCCTTGGTTAATTAATAGATAGAGGCCAGGCATCAAGGACAGGACATATGATGGGGAAGAAAAAGCTTGTGCAGAAATTTATTGATAAAGACCTAATATCTTTTTTTTTTTTTTTTTTTTTTTTTTTTTATTTTATTTTTTTTTATTGTTGGTTGTTCAAAACATTACATAGTTCTTGATATATCATCTTTCACACTTTGCTTCAAGTGAGTTATGAACTCCCATTTTTTAGCCCATATACAGATTGCAGAATCACATCAATTACACATCCATTGATTTACATATTGCCATACTTGACCTAATATCTTAATGATTCTGTTTTCAATGCCATAAGAAAGACTCAGACTTTGGCTTCTTTGGGATTCACAGATAGCCCTCAGGAAATAAAATTGAGTTTATAGTTTTTGTGTGTGTGTCATAGTTAATTAACTGGACATATAAAATTTAATTTTCACTTATAAATAATAAAAACCTAAAGAAAGGAACTGTGTGTTATGAAACTAAATTCCTAGCATGTCCCAAGGATTTTGCTGATCCACTTATAAAACAGTGCTACCACCAAGAAAAGGGAACTGTATTTATTTAGCCAGCTTCAAATAGTCATCTTTTTTGCTAGCATTGAACAGGCCAGGTAAACATGGGGGCTCCAAGCTAATAATTTTTTACTCCCAACTAGTAACACGTCTCTTCAAATATGTCAAATTGTCAAAAAAGAAAAGACCTGTGTAGAAAGCAGATCTAATTCACAATACCCAGCCTTATTTCTCAGAGATCTGTGCCTTCAGGTTTGCATTTCCCATCATGCCCAACTGGTGCCTCAATCTTTAAAAGTGCTCTTCCCTGTTTATTATAACCTACAACCCTAAATATCAGTATTTGAAAAAAAAATATGTTGCTTTAAGGTGCTTAAAATCTGATAGTAACAGTGATAACTCTCATGAACTTGTTTTTTGTAAGGCAACTTTCAACTAAATAAAAAAGCTGGATTCTAATTTTGATATTTCTGGCAGTGAGTCAGGAAGAGTGGAGAGCTGTTTTAAGAAAAAGACAGGCTTTAAGGTCCTGGGCAACAGTGAACAGAAACAGGGAGAAGCTAACACAACCCTATGAGGTGGGCTACAGTGTTCTCATGGATGCTTCCTATGGTCAGTGTTGCAGCAGGAGATGCAGGAACTTAATCATGGATTCCCTTCAAATTAGCCCAGATAGGTAGGAACCACTAGGTGAATAAATGTACTCAATCTGTTTCCTTGCACTGTATTCTACTCATACGTGGTATTGAGGTCACTGAGAGTGACTACAGACATTGCCGTGGGAGTGATTCAGATGGCAAAATATTCAATGGATGAGGACTGGGAGTTTGGAAAAGGACAAAAGCAATGAGAATTAAAGGTACCGTATAACCCAAGCCTTAGAGCATCAAGGATTTTACAAGACTTAAAAGATTGTAAAAAGTCATCCAGTAAAAGCAACTTTAAGAAACGAGGGAGATGTCAATCCCAGAGCCCACAACTAAAGGGGTGGAAATAAGGCAGTGTCGATCTCCCGCAGAGACCACAGGGAAACAGGATGGAATACAGGCTTGAATTCAGGAGAGCCAGGGAGGAGATGAAGAGTTCAGAGTTCAGGGAGTCAGAATTTCTGAGATTAAAATAAGAAATGTTGGGAGGTAGGAAAGAGTGAAAAGCTGAGTCCTGGAGAGGACGCATAGAAGATGAAAATGAGTGTTCAGGGAAGGAGAGATGTTTGGCATTTACATTTTAGGTCATGTATAGGTGAAATACGCTTAGGTCTCATGGAATCAGCTGTGACCCAGAAAGCAGGCCTTATAGTGGGGTTCAGAACAGAGCATGTCTAAATCTCTTGATTTTCAGGGCTACTCAATGGCCATGTGCAGAAGAAAAGATAGGCTTTAAGGTCCTGGGCAACAGTGAATAGAAACAGGGAGAAGCTAACACAACCCTATGGGGTGGGCTACAGTGTTCTCATAGATGCTTCCTAGGGTCAGTGCTGCAGCAGGAGATGCAGGAACTCAAAGACATGCTTTCTGTTCAGGATCATCTCTGGTCCTATGCAAGTCTGAATCAGTATATAACACTGTCTACTGGAATTAAGGACAGAGGCTTAGAGTGTCTCGCTCCAAAAGGGACCAGAGTTTCATATTCCTCTTCTGAATCCTCAATGGCACAGTCTAAGCGGGTTTTGTTTGTATTCCATTTTCTAGGGTTAACAGAGGAAGAAATCCGAAACTGTATCCATATTGAAAAGAAGAAGCGTATTCTTTTTGTTAAGAAAACAAAAGTAGAGAAGAAATGTACTACTAACAAGCTGTCAGAAAAATATGAAGGTAATGGTCCTTTCTTAGCCACTTGTCCAGTGTGTCCAGTGTAAGTACCATATTGCATATGACTGTGCTATCTTTAACATTTAACATTTCATTCACCTGCCTCACAGCCCTGTGTGTGTCAGGGGAAAGGTGCAAATAAAATAACATTAGCACTACTTAAAATATTTTCAAGTAGTGGCTAAAGTTTTCTTTATCTAATTCTTAAGCTGTTAAATTTGGGTGGAGAGGCTACTGGAGATTGAACTTAAGTGGCACTTGACCACTGAGTCACATCCCAGCCCTATTTTGTATTTTATTTAGAGACAGGGTCTCACTGAGTTGCTAAGGGCCTAAGTTGCTGAGACTGGTTTTTAACTCACAATTCTCTTGCCTCAGCCTCCTGAGCTGCTGGGATTGCGCCTGGCTAAAGCTGTTTAATTTAATGAACAATTTCTAAGTATCCCCATGGGTAGAATTCAGTATGAAGCTTTGTAAGGCGAAAGAGTAAGATCTGGACATTCTTATTAAGAAACTTACAGAGTAAGGATATATATAAATGACCATTAAAAATAGACTGATAAATGTTTAGAAGAGGTATTTTTTAAAGGCTATGAAAGTACATTGGGCTGAAGAAGATGGGCAGATGGAAATCCTGAGATTAAAATATATCAGGTCTTGTGACAAGAACTATTTGGGGGCCGTGCATTGAAGGCAGAAGTTGACTTTGGCAAATGAAGAGGAAGAGAAAGAAAATCCAGGCCAACCTTTCAAAGAAAAAAGACACTAGTCAGGTTTTGCAGAATGATCTTCCTCTTTCCCAGTGTTCTAGCTACTGCCCTCTTACATCCTAATCCCCAACCCAGCTTTCCCTTCTGAGCTCCAGACACCAGCTGTTCACCAAGCAAATCTACCTGAACATCAGTATGTTCTTTCCCTTCTGAAGCTGTTCTCATCACTATATAGTGTTGCCTTAGTTTCACAGCCTATAGGGATTATTGTGAAGGCTTAACAGTACGACTAGCATAGGAACCAGCAAACTGTGCCTACCTCTTTTTCCCTCTCCTTCAACATTCCCAGGCTTGATGCATGGCGGTGCCATCCACCAGGTCAACCAAGCCAGGAATCTGGGAATCACCTTTGATTTTTTTCCTTCTTTCTAACCCCCATATTTAATAAGTAACCATGTACAATCGATTCTATCTCCTGAATACCTCTCAAAGTGTTCTCTTCTCTTTAATTCCATGTACATAACTCCATTCATTATATCCAATCTGGACTATCACAAAAGTCTCTAAAACTGGTCTCCTTGTTCTGAGTATTCCCTTCTTGCAGTCTATTCTACACATTTTTGTGAGAGGGATTTTCTCCAAGACAATTCTTATTCATGAAATCCTTATGCTTTAAATATGTCATGGTCCCATATAGCCTCAAGGATAAGCCCTCACATCTCTCTGCATAGCTCAACTTTATATCATCTCCTAAACACATCATGCTCTCGGCTATGCCTTGCCTCTATAAATAACTCTTTACTCTGTGCACAATTTTTTTATTCTCTTACTTTGCCTGACTGCCACTCATTTGTTCAGAACAAAGGAAAGGAAACAGGATCACAGAAACTCCCAGATTTGAAACTTACACTCTCATAAGGAATATGAGAGAAAAATAAAAATGTAATATTCATCACCAAAATAATAAATATATTATTCTAAATGCATAGAAATTCGGCTTGAATATAAGTAAAATGAGAAGAACTGTATTAACAATTACATTTGCATTCTAGCAAACAAAAAAGGAAAGAAAATGAAGGCAAAACGAAACAACATACAAAACAGACAAGTAATTTAGTAATATAAATCAAAGAATGGATACAGATTCTTTACTAGCTTATCATGAAATAGAATATTTTAATAAGAACATGAATTCGATAAGTCAAAAGCTCAAAGATAAAAATTTAAATGTGCAAATTAAAGGAAAAGGAAGACTTCAAAGTCAGGGTAAAAACATTGAGCAGCATTACCATTATCATTATAAATAAATTAGACACTGAATGGACAAAACATAGTAGTCTGAATATAAAATTAATAAAGTTAAACACATGTAAGAATTATCTAAAGAAATCACAATAAGTACAGAAAAAAATCAGTTATTATTAAAGAAAATCTAATGAAAATAGAATGACAAACCATGTAAGTTCATGTACAAATATGTAACAAATCCTACTAATATGTGTAATTATAATGCACCAATAAAAATTTTAATTTAAAAAATAATGAAAATATTAAAACATGCACACAACAATAATAGCAGCATTTTGTAAGAATCTATCCTGGGTGACACACACCTATAATCCCACCTACTTGGGAGGCTGAAGCGGGAGGATCGAAAGTTCAGTGCCAGCTTCAGCAACTTAACAAGATCCTGTTTCAAAACAAAAATAAAGAAAAGGACTATAGCTCTACAGTAGAGTACCTTGGATTCAATCACAAGTACCATAAAATAAAAGTCTTCAAAATAAATGAAGAAATTTTATATGTATAATTATGTCAGAGTTAACCCCCAATATTATGTATAACTATAAGACACTAATAAAAACATTGAAAAGACATATGGTTCACGTATGCAACTTCAAGGGAAAAAAAAACTGATTTTTTTTTACTAAATCCAAAGATTTAGAAAATGAATTCTACAAGTATCTGGGTTGAAAAACACAAGTTTTATACACAACAATGACAAAACCTGGTTGTCCTAGACTTCTCCATAACAACATTCTGCAACAAGGTATTGGAGAAATCCCACAGATTACTGAACAGGGGAAAGAAGTATCTTCATATGGAAAAATAACAGGAAGACGTTATCAAAACAGGAAAAAATTCTGGTAATATACATTCTTGAGTACTTACTGAAAAAAGAAAACTACTCAATGGCAAAATCATGCCACAAATAAAAAATGAAAAAGAACAATTGGAATAATTCACATGTTCAGATATGATTTTTTTATACAATGGAACTTAACGTCTTTCTCAAATGCCCATTTCTTCTAAGTAATAAAAAAATATATAAAAATGCCAATGTAATGTAACACAGTTATTCAGTGTTTCATTTTTCGATTTTCAGTCAAATATAAGATTCCCTCACCTTTCTCCTTTGCTGTTTCTCAGGGATATTCTGTGTGTGTGTTTATGTGTGTGTACATGTGCGTTCATGTGTATGTGTGTACATTTGTACATGCATTGGGGGAAGGGTATCCTAGCATCAGAGGAAAAATGAAACCTTTGTTAGCACAAAGCCCTTTGTCTTTGCTGCCCTCAGCTGATCTGTTATTTGCCTACCTTGGTCCTCATCATTAGACACTGGCACCCACCACCAATGCTAATGGTCCTGCCATACCCTTTGAATCTTCTTCACATCAACCAACATCATGCCCCTTTGTCTAAAACCCTCTCTCAAGATTTCCTCATCTTCTTTAAGATTTAGGCAACTCCTAACTCTTTCCTGAACACATAATTGTGAGAGCCTTTAAAGCAACTCAGGGGACCATTTGCTTGGGCACCATGTGGGATATAAAATGTTCTCTACAAGTCTCACCATTCTCATTCTACTCATAGAGAAGATTTAGATACAAACGACTATGCATTGCTATCAAATTTCTCTTGTATTACCATCCCTCCCAAGACTGCTCAGTGCAATAGAATCCCAGGTCTAAGCTAAGAAATTCGTCACGTCTAAATTTTCATTATACCATATCTAACATTCTCCATTTTCCCTTCCACTCAAAAATCTATTTTTTTCCTTTTGAGAAAGAAAGGGGTTCTTATGTCATTGTTCATTTTTTCATTCTATGATTGGTATTATAAATTATATGGTTTGAATCCTAGCAGGTTTGGCTCTTGGTATTTAAGTTAAAGTTTTAAGAATTCCAAGAATTATTTTCTCTTTCAACAGCCTGGTTCTTGACTTTGAAAACCATGGCCTTCAGGTCTATAATTTCTGCTAGATTCAAAAGTATACTTGAGAGTTCAGAAGAAAGGTTTTTTATTCTTTTTTTCTGTCAATCTTCTCTATTTTGAGGCTGTACTGTTGAAAAACCCACGATGTGGCTTTAATTATGAGAGGAATGGCAGAGATAGAGCTTAAAAAAACATAGAAAGCTTATTGACAATAAGACTGGGATCCTAATTAGAATAAGATGTACTTCATGTTAGTATAAATATGTCAAATTATACTCTACTGTCATGTGTAACAAAAAAGAACAAAAAATAAATAAATAAATTGCTGAAGACCAAAAAATTAAGGAAACAGACAAAAGTTAATACCAAGACTTTAATCCAATAAATAAAAAAAGAATGTAGGAGTGAAGAAACAGTGGGCAAACATGAGTCAAGGAAGACTGAATCATTTAATATATAAAACTAACATTAAACAAGGGGAATGAGGATTTTATTTTTCTGAATTGCTTAAATATTTAATATGCTCAAAATGCAATATTTATTTCAAAACAAACAAGTCTATAAATTATTAACTTATCAGGCAGTCCAAGGAGCCATTCTGTTTACCACCTGTTGTTATTCATGATTAAAGTAGCTACACTTCTTTTTAATCTCACTGCAACCCCTATTCACAGTATCATAGCACTCATTGCACTCTTTACTTCCTATTTCCTTCATTAAGATGTGAACAAATTTAGGACAGTGATATAGTCTTTATGTCCACCATGCCTAACACATTATAAATGTTTAATCAATGTATTTATTTTTATTGTTGGATACAGAATAGTGGGATTCGTTATGCCAAATTTATATGTGCACATAGCATGATTTGATCAATCTCATCTCCCATTAATCAATGTATTTCTATAAACATGAAAAATTGAAAGAAATGATGCACAAATGATCAACATTTAGTAAGTTCCAATTATGTTCCAGGCACCACTCTAATTGCTTTGTGTGTGTGAACTTTTCATCCTCTCAGTGACCCCAGGAGACTGCTTCAGTTATTACCTTATAGATGAGGAAACAGAAGCACAGAGAGGCAAAGGCTGAATACATAAGTGAATAAATGAATATTTCAATTTAGTTTGAGCATAAACTTGTGAAATAAATCAAGGAAAGCAGTTTTTTTCTGTATTAAGCAGGACTGTATGCCTTGGTTAAATATTTGGACTTAATCCTATTTAAATATTCTCACTGTAACACTTAGGATCTTCAGGAAGGTAATAGGTGTGAAGTGTGAAAAGGGAGTTGTTGCATCTTTAAATTTGAAAACTCCCAGTGTAAAAAATAGTTAAAGAGAACTCCTCTAAGTTTTTAAAATCATGAAGAACACTATGATTTTCTTTTTTCAATAAGCCTATATGGTATGCAGTTACCACACCTCCTTTCCCCAAAATAAGGCCTTACCAAGAAATTTAGATTTAGTATTGGGCCAAACACTCTGGTGAATTCAGTAGCAAAACAGTAAAAATTACTAAGTATGGAAGTAAATTCTCCTTTACAGATTATTTCTAGTTGTGATGGATTAAGTACATTGCATTTCTATTAAATTTACAAGACAGACTATATAAATTCAAATTTTGGCTCCACTATTGATTAACAATGTAACCAACATCAAGACCCTTCTTTGCTTTGCTTTGGGTTTTTGACATATAAAATGAAACTAATAGTATTTATTTAATCTATGTTTCATGAGAACTTAACAATCTATATAAAATGATAAGAATAAATCCTGTCTTGTACTAAATACTGAGCTCGTATAAGTTATCCTTTGGCAGTTGTCCAGGTGACATATAGTAAAGACATGTTATGTAGGGAAATAGTAGAAATTTAGAAATAGGCAAAAATATTAAATAAGCCTGTCATGAAAGAAGATATTTAAAGAGCAAACATGAAAAGAACATATCAGGAGTTGAAATAAATTTAAATCCCATAAGATACTACCTCATACAAATGGTGAAATTTTTAATTTTTGTTTTGGCTTTTGCTTAAATTTTTTAAATTTTTTTCATGTTTTTATTGGTACATTATAATTATTTATAATAGTGTGATTCAGCATGGCATATTCATACCTACACATAACATAAATTTATTAGTCTCACTCACCAGTCCCTCCCCTTTCTCTTCTCCTCTCCTTCTTCCTGAACCTCTTGCTCTACTCTATTGATCTCCCTTCTATTATTATTATTATTAAGTAGTGCATTAAATTTATATATATATATACATATATATATGTATATATATAGAGAGAGAGTGGTATATTTGTACATAGGCATAGCATAATTTAGTAGATTTTTTTCCTTGGTACTTCCTCATGTCCCTCCCTTTCAGGTAAAAAAATTTAAATTGACAAATTTTGACAGAGTATAGAACCAATCACCCAAACTGCTGATAGAAATTTAAATTGATGAAACTATTTGGACACTGGAAGTGCTTACTGAAGTGGTAATTTTTATATATATAGACATAGCTATCAATAAACATTTTATATATATAAACATATTATATATATATATATTTATTTATTTATAAATAATAAATATATATAATATATATTTATAAATAAACATATTATATATATATTTTATATATATAAAATATTTATTGATAGCTATGTCTGTTTCTACACATGAATATATGTATATATAATGTATGTATTAATAATCTAGCAATTATACTGCTGTTTGTTCCCAATAGAAACATGCACAAATATGCTAAAAACGTAATGTACAAAAATATGCACAGTAACATTTTCGAATGTTAGTTTGAATACATATATGACTGGATACAACTCAAATATCTGATCAAAACTGGATATGACTCAAGTGTCTATATCAAGAATAAAATGGACAGGGATATGAATTAATGAATGCTATACACAATGTAGACAAAGTGAAAAATAACATCACAACAAAGTACACATTTTATACCTTTTCATTTGAAATTCAGAAACAGGCAAAACTAATGTACAAGGATATTGAAGCTGTGGGTTGGATTTGAGAATGAAATAACAGTTGACAGAAGCCTTTAAGGAGACTTCGAGGGTGCTGCTGGTGCTCTTGGTTAATGTGGGCAATGACTATGAAGGCATGTTCACTTTTAAAAAATTAATTGAGTTGCATACTTACCGTGATGTGCTTTTATGTGTGAAAATTATACTTCAGCAGAAAAGTTTACTTAAATATATGAGAGACAATACTAGATTAGAATCAGGACTACTTTGGAAACTGAATTGATAGAGAGGTATTGGGATGAGAAAATACCATATATGGAGCCTGGTTTTCAACTTGTTGAAATGAGAGGACACTGCAAAATTAGGGACAGACATAATAGTTTTCAAACTGGTGTGTCAATCTCCCACCGCTACCCAGTTGGCACAGTACTGCTAATGTACCTGAATCCTCTCCCTTCCCCATCACAAAACCTTTTATTGATTCTAGAGAATGTAGTGGTTTTGAAGCCTAGAGAATAAACCCAGTTTTCTTCATTTTCCATTCATATCTTCTTAATTCTGCCATTTTTCCTCTTCAAATTTAACTCAGACTGATGCCCATCTGCCTTCTCTTCAGAATATAGCACATCGACCAGATTTGGGCATGTGCCTGTGGTGTCCCAGGCTTTGAAGCCCACCATCTTCATAGCAAGTCTTACCTATGCCCCATGGTCATGACAGTCCTCTTTTCAGAGTGCCACCCTCCCTAACTGCCCAGATCATGGCATTCTTTCACCTTCTTAACTCCAGAATCATGAATTGCTTACACTACTCAGTAATACTTGGCAAAACTATTTGCATTATTGTTCTTTTGTTATGTTTTATATCTTTTCTTTCCATTTCTCCCTTCCTCCCCTTCCCGTCTCCCTCTATAAATGGAGAACTATGAGTCTGTGCTGGACATTTTCTCTTCCAGTTCCTTTAGGTCCACCCAGTTTTCTAGTAGTCTGATGACAATAATAGTATTGCCTCATATTGTCCTTACCTTCCTCTTTTCCCTCCTTCCTCATCCTTCATTTAAATTTTTTTTTATAGTTTTGCTAGTATATTTCTGTACCTATGCTGTCTCCTCATGGAGGGTCAATATTTTACATTTCTCTCAGTCTTCTGGCATATGGCAACTTCTCAACAACTTCTTGTTAATGCCATTTACCCCAAATCAATAGCATATTAAGGAAAAAGCATACACGGCAACACAGATTTGTCCATTTCTAGCTCTGAATTGTTTCACTTAAGCAATTGGACTCCAAATTTTTCAAATCCAAAATATTGTAGAAAGTTATTTTGAAATAATATACCTAATACATGTATAGATATATACTAACAAGTTGTATAAATTTATTATTCTAAAAATATAGAATGCCAAAAATATGCAAATGTATAAAAAAGTTACAGAAGACAGTTTAGATGAAATAAACAGAATTTTTTGTTGTTTTCCCCATAGTGGTGGCTACTTATGCTTAGACTAAGTCTTCCTATTAACAAGAAAGCCCTATTTCATATAACTCCTTGAAATTTTGACATGAACACAAGAAGTTTTCATTTGATATTTGTTCTCACTATAATTGCCTACTACTCAGATCCTACCCATATTGTTAAAATTGTCATTAGTTAATGGGAATTAATTTGAAATTTGTATTAAAAATCTGTGTGGTGTAGTTCCTCTAAAGAAACAGTGTCAACACTGTTTCAAACTCACTACTCATGGTGAGTTTGAACAGTTTTATTCACAAAATTTCCTTTTCCAGTATTTTTTATTTTTTTTTCCTTTTACATATAATGCTTTTAAGTTTAAAGTTTAAGTTTAAAGGCATTCTATCATTTTTTTTATCTGCAATTGAAAGTTTCCAATGTGGAAGGCAATTGATCAAATACCAGAGCTATGTGGTTATGTTATTTTAGGGGCCCATGTCTGTAAATCAAAAGCTGGAGGGTTGGCATCAAACCATAAAGGGAAAAGTACTCAAGAACTCTTGTTGTATTTGCATGCCAGTAATGCCTCTCCCTGAACATGTGTTCCAGGACAAAATATTTTCAGTTTCAATATATACATTTAAACTAATAGCTACTAATGTCTACTGCTCAGGGTTGTTGTGAGAATTATATACCACAATGTGTAGGAAGTCCCCGGCAGATACCATATGCTCAATAAGTAAGTGGTAGTGTTGGCACTGTTATTATCATGTCTCTATTGAAGTCTCTGTGGGAATGAGAATTGTTCTCTTGTTTTTCCACTTAGCTTTTCTTATTGGAGATGCTTGACTATACCATCTACTTCTCTGTCCTGTGCAAATTGACATTTCTTTAAAGAATAAATTTTCAATACAATTAAAGGGATAATTTTCTTGAACACCTTGTAGGTTCACTTTTGCAGGGAGCAGAAAAGTCCATATCTTTGGTCCAAGGTGGAAGGAGCAAATATTCAGCAGCTTTGGCCTGGGAGAAAGGGACCTCAGGTCCAGAGGAGAAAGTATTTTCTGAGTGGTTGGAATCAGTGAAGGAAAATCCTGCTGTGATTGACTTTGAGGTAAGATTAAAATGCATTGAAGGTAAGAGAGCTAAAGTAGTTCTCTAGTAATCAAATTTTACATTGTGCAATTCTTTTTCCATTTTCTTTTCAGATGATAAGGAAAATGTATTTCTTTAATATGTATGCACAATATGCTTTTTTAAAAAATGCACATCTAGTGCTTTTGCTATTCAAACAAGCATTCTGGTACAGTATTTAGAATTCCTAGCATCTATGAAACACTGGAAAAGGAAATTTTGTGAATAAAACTGTTCAAACTCACCATGAGTAGTACTCTTCATCTCACCCATGCATACAATAAATTTAGTTTCTATATCTTTCTGGCAACTCTTCATTTGATGAGTTCTTATAAATCTTTATTTATAATGATGTGGGATAAATGGGATTTTAGATCCATTTGACTTCCTGTTTCTATCACCATTGATTCAATTTACCAGTTTTGTATTTGCTGTAATTACATTAAAAGTTGATTTTTGTTATTTATGGAGTACTTTGCCCACATACCAGTCATATTCCATTTAGAATCAGTTTTGCTTTTAACAACCACATTTTAAAAGGCCTTCAAAGAGGCTATTATGCTTACTTCATTTAAATGAAGATAAAGGAACTCAATTATTATGAAAATGGAGCCATTTACATGCAGCATGAAAACATATTGAGCTCCAAAAGTTATGGTGGAAAAATGAGGCACGGCTACCCATCTGGGCACTTTTTAGTCATACAGTAACTTAAATGGCCATTTCTTTGGGATTTTAAAATGCTAATAAAATTAAAATAAGCACTGCCTTTCTTTTATTGTTGTTAGCTTCCTTATTTGTTACTGTAATTTTTCTATCCATCCCACTGGCAAGTTCCTCTCTTCATTTTCTCCTATTCCACATTTTCTCTTCTGGCTCCACCAAAAGCCAGTACTGTCCTTACCAATACAGAGAACAAGAAAAGCAGTCTTCAGCAGCCTCTCTAGATTTTTTTGCATGAATCAAACTTGATGAGGTTTCAGCAGAGCATTTGTGTGCTACATAGCCCTTGGTCAACCATCTCAGTACTTTGATCCTTAATGAATAACATGATGCAAGTCCAAGTAAGCAATGTATCACATATGGCTTCCTCCACAATAGAAGTGCAGAGAAGATGAGTTTCAGGTAGTTCACACCTGCCCTCAGGTAGAGGGCCTTTCTCTACTGGCTTAATGGGCAGCTCTTGTAGATTTTACAATAATACCTTTGAAGTCAGGATTTTCTCAGACCTTGCCTCTCATTCCATGAGAACTGGACAGTGATGGCAGTGTATTGTCAGACGGCATGTGACTAGATCTCCTCTCTCTTGGCTCTTCCTAGCTTGCTCCCATCATGGACTTAGTAAGAAACATTCCCTGTGCAGTGACTAAACGGAACAACCTCAGGAAAGCTTTTCAAGAATACACAGCCAAGTTTGACCCTTGCCAGTGTGCTCCATGCCCTAATAATGGCCGTCCCGTGCTCTCAGGGACCGAATGTCTGTGTGTGTGTCGGAGTGGCACCTATGGCAAGAACTGTGAGATACGGTCTCCAGATTATAAATCTAGTAAGTATCAGTAATTGATTGTGGGGTAGGCACCTTTTCCCCTCTAAAAGATATTCTAGGTTGGCCAATTAAGACAATATTTCTAGCAAATTCCACCTTTTATAAATGCATAAAGAAAATAAGCCTTCAAAAAATTAAGACTCTAAAGTCAAATGACTTCATATTAGTCTCAGCTACAACCTACCAGTTATGTGATGCTGGAAAATCTCCATGACATAATCTGTTCATCCATCAAATGAGGATAATCCTAGTATGTATCCAAGCATTAAAATGTATTTATTTATTTGTGTTTTATAATATATAACATAATACCTGTAACATTAAATAAATAAAAAGTAAAAATTATAAAATAAAATATGATAGTATTATCATAAACCTCTAATGAATCATAATATAAGAGGATGACATTGCAATATGGGATAGATTAAGTCACAACCAAAGTTTTCATGCAGAGCTAAGTAATGTTCAAAATTACCCCGAATTCTCCTTAGAAAGAGAATAATGCATGGGATTAAGAACATATCCTACTGCCTTTGAAAAATAATTTGATATATATTCTATTCAGAAAATGTTCATGTTTATACATATACACGTGTGTGTGTGTGTGTGTGTGTGTGTATATATATATATATTTACTCATCAGATTTTTTGCTGCTGTGGCTGAAGGATCTGACCAAAATAACTATAGAGGGGGAATAATTTATTTGAGGACTCATGGTTTCAGAGGTCTTAGTCCATAGAAGGCCTCCATTTTCTGAGGGCTCAAGATGAGGCTGAACATCATGGTGGAGTGTGTGGCAGAAGGAAGCAGTTCGTATCATGGTGATCAAGAAGCAGAGAGTGAGAGTCTGCCCATCAGATACAAATATATACTCCAAAGCCAGTCAGCAATTCCCATCTCCTCCAGCCACACCCTGCCACTTCAGTTAATCCCGTCAGGAATTAACTCACCTGTTAGGCTAAGGCTATATATTCAGTCATTTCTCTTCCAAACCTTCTTACATTGTCTCACACCTGAGCTTTTGGGGGATACCATATCGAACCATAACATTTATAGTGAAAATGATCCATAATTTCTGCCATTTTATTAAGACCTATGGGAACAGGAAGAGAAAATCAGGCCTTGTATCAGATCCCTGTCAGCAACTATTTCTTTTAATCCTTATTAGGATCCTGTAATATTCCACAAAGCTGGTCAGACTGGCCTTTCTTCAAGGCGCAAATTCTCTCAGATGCACCATGATTACAGGGGTGCTTTCCTTTCTTCCAGGTGCAGTGGATGGAAATTGGGGCTGCTGGTCTTCCTGGAGCATGTGCAATCCCACTTATAAGAGATCAAGAACCCGAGAGTGCAATAACCCTGCTCCTCAACAGGGAGGAAGGGGCTGTGAGGGAGAGGGGCGTCAAGAGGAGGACTGCACATTTTCAATAATGGAAAATATGTAAGGTTGGGTAAAAGGAAAGAGGATAGTGAAGTCATTTCCTTCACTAACACAGTTTGGATATTGATTATTCTGCTGCTAAGTAAAGAAATAATTCAGATTTTATCTATTTTTTTTAATTTTTTATTGTTGGTTGTTCAAAACATTACATAGTTCTTGATATATCATATTTCACACTTTGATTCAAGTGGGTTATGAGCTCCCATTTTTACCCCATATAGAGCTTGCAGAATCACATCAGTTACACATCCATTGATTTACATATTGCCATACTAGTGTCTGTTGTGTTCTGCTGCCTTTCCCATCCTCTACTATCCCCCCTCCCCTCCCCTCCCCTCCCCTCTTCTCTCTCTGCCCCCTCTACTGACATTCATTTGTCCCCCTTGTATTATTTTTCTCTTTCCCCTCACTTCCTCTTGTATGTACTTTTGTATAACTCTGAGGGTCTCCTTCCATTTCCATGCAATTTCCCTTCTCTCTCCCTTTCCCTCCCACCTCTCATCCCTGTTTAATGTTAATCTTCTTCTCATGCTCTTCGACCCTACTCTGTTCTTAGTTACTCTCCTTATATCAAAGAAGACATTTGGCATTTGTTTTTTAGGGATTGGCTAGCTTCACTTAGCATAATCTGCTCTAATGCCATCCATTTCCCTGTAAATTCTATGATTTTGTCATTTTTTAATGCAGAGTAATACTCCATTGTGTATAAATGCCACATTTTTTTAATCCATTCATCTATTGAAGGGCATCTAGGTTGGTTCCACAGTCTTGCTATTGTGAATTGTGCTGCTATGAACATCGATGTAGCAGTGTCCCTGTAGCATGCTCTTTTTAGGTCTTTAGGGAATAGACCTAGAAGGGGAATAGCTGGGTCAAATGGTGGCTCCATTCCCAGCTTTCCAAGAAATCTCCATACTGCTTTCCAAATTGGCTGCACCAATTTGCAGTCCCACCAGCAATGTCCAAGTGTACCCTTTTCCCCACAACCTCACCAGCACTTGTTGTTGTTTGACTTCATAATGGCTGCCAATCTTACTGGAGTGAGATGGTATCTTAGGGTGGTTTTGATTTGCATTTCTCTGACAGCTAGAGATGGTGAGCATTTTTTCATGTACTTGTTGATTGATTGTATGTCCTCCTCTGAGAAGTGTCTGTTCAGGTCCTTGGCCCATTTGTTGATTGGGTTGTTTGTTCTCTTATTGTCTAATTTTTTGAGTTCTTTGTATACTCTGGATATTAGGGCTCTATCTGAAGTGTGAGGAGTAAAGATTTGTTCCCAGGATGTAGGCTCTCTATTTACCTCTCTTATTGTTTCTTTTACTGAGAAAAAACTTTTTAGTTTGAGTAAGTCCCATTTGTTGATTCTAGTTATTAACTTTTGTGCTATGGGTGTCCTATTGAGGAATTTGGAGCCCGACCCCACCGACTGTAGATCGTAGCCAACTTTTTCTTCTATCAGACGTCGTGTCTCTGATTTGATATCAAGCTCCTTGATCCATTTTGAATTAACTTTTGTGCATGGCGAGAGAAAGGGATTCAGTTTCATTTTGTTGCATATGGATTTCCAGTTTTCCCAGCACCATTTGTTGAAGATGCTATCCTTCCTCCATTGCATGCTTTTAGCCCCTTTATCAAATATAAGGTAGTTGTAGTTTTGTGGATTGGTTTCTGTGTCCTCTATTCTGTACCATTGGTCCACCCGCCTGTTTTGGTACCAGTACCATGCTGTTTTTGTTACTATTGCTCTGTAGTATAGTTTGAAGTCTGGTATCGCTATACCGCCTGATTCACACTTCCTGCTTAGCATTGTTTTTGCTATTCTGGGTCTTTTATTTTTCCATATGAATTTCACGATTGCTTTCTCTATTTCTACAAGAAATGCCGTTGGGATTTTGATTGGCATTGCATTAAACCTATAGAGAACTTTTGGTACTATCGCCATTTTGATGATGTTAGTTCTGCCTATCCATGAACAGGGTATATTTTTCCATCTTCTAAGATCTTCTTCTATGTCTCTCTTTAGGGTTCTGTAGTTTTCATTGTATAAGTCTTTCACCTCTTTTGTTAGGTTGATTCCCAAGTATTTTTTTTTTTTGAGTGGTTGTCCTCATTTCCATTTCAGAGGATTTGTTGCTGATATACAGGAATGCCTTTGATTTATGCGTGTTGATTTTATATCCTGCCACTTTGCTGAATTCATTTATTAGCTCTAATAGTTTCTTTGGAGACCCTTTTGGGTCTGCTAGGTATAGAATCATGTCATCTGCAAATAGTGATAATTTAAGTTCTTCTTTTCCTATTTTGATGCCTTTAATTTCTTTCGTCTGTCTAATTGCTCTGGCCAGTGTTTCGAGAACTATGTTGAACAGAAGTGGTGAGAGAGGGCATCCCTGTCTTGTTCCAGATTTTAGAGGGAATGCCTTCAGTTTTTCTCCATTCAGAATGATGCTAGCCTGAGGCTTAGCATAGATTGCTTTTACAGTATTAAGGTATGTTCCTGTTATCCCTAGCTTTTCTAGAGTTTTGAACATAAAGGGATGCTGTACTTTGTCGAATGCTTTTTCCGCATCTATCGAGATGATCATATGGTTCTTATTTTTAAGTCTATTGATGTGGTGAATAACATTTATTGATTTCCGTATATTGAACCAGCCTTGCATCCCAGGGATGAATCCTACTTGATCATGGTGCACAATTTTTTTGATATGTTTTTGTATCCGATTTGCCAGAATTTTATTGAGGATTTTTGCATCTAGGTTCATTAGAGATATTGGTCTGTAGTTTTCTTTCTTTGAAGTGTCTTTGTCTGGTTTAGGTATCAGGGTGATGTTGGCCTCGTAGAATGAATTTGGAAGTTCTCCCTCCTTTTCTATTTCCTGAAGTAGCTTGAAAAGTATTGGTATTAGTTCCTCTTTAAAGGTTTTGTAAAACTCTGCTGTATACCCATCCGGTCCTGGGCTTTTCTTAGTTGGTATTCTTTTGATGGTTTCTTCTGTTTCCTCAATTGATATTGGTCTGTTTAGGTTGTCTATATCCTCCTGACTCAATCTGGGCAGATCATATGACTTAAGAAATTTATCAATGCCTTCACTATCTTCTAATTTATTGGAGTATAAGGATTCAAAATAATTTTTGATTATCTTCTGTATTTCTGAAGTGTCTGTTGTGATATTGCCTTTTTCATCCCGTATGCTAGTAATTTTAGTTCTCTCTCTTCTTCTCTTCGCTAGCATGGCTAAGGGTCTGTCGATTTTGTTTATTTTTTCAAAGAACCAACTTTTAGTTTTGTCAATTTTTTCAATTGTTTCTTTTGTTTCGATTTCATTAATTTCAGCTCTGATTTTAATTATTTCTTGCCTTCTACTTTTTTTGCTGTTGTTTTGCTCTTCTTTTTCTAGGATTTTGAGATGAAGTATGAGATCATTTATTTGTTGTTTTTTTCTTTTTTTAAGGAATGAACTCCAAGCAATGAATTTTCCTCTTAGAACTGCTTTCAATGTGTCCCATAGATTCCGATATGTTGTGTCTGTGTTTTCATTAATCTCTAAGAATTTTTTAATTTCCTCCTTGATGTCTTCTATAACCCATTGATCATTCAGTAACCTATTGTTCACTCTCCAACTGATGTATGCTTTTTCCTTCCTTCTTTTATCGTTGATTTTCAGTTTCATTCAATTATGATCAGATAGGATGCATGGTATTATCTTTACTCCTTTATATTGTCTAAGAGTTGCCCTGTGACATAATATATGATCTATTTTTGAGAAGGATCCATGTGCTGCTGAGAAAAAAGTGTAACTGCTTGATGTTGGGTGGTATATTCTATATATGTCAATTAAGTCTAGGTTATTAATTGTGTTATTGAGTTCTATAGTTTCCTTATTCAACTTTTGTTTGGAAGATCTGTCCACTGGCGAGAGAGGTGTGTAGAAGTCTCCCATGATTATTGTATGGTGGTCTATTAGACTCTTGAATTTGAGAAGAGTTTGTTTGATGAACATAGCTGCACCATTGTTTGGGGCATATATATTTATGATTGTTATGTCTTGTTGGTGTATGGTTCCCTTAAGAAGTATGTAGTGTCCCTCTTTATCCCTTTTGATTAACTTTGGCTTGAAATCTATTTTATTTGATATGAGTATGGACACTCCTGCTTGTTTCCGAAGTCCATATGAGTGATATGATTTTTCCCAACCTTTCACCTTCAGCCTATGTATGTCTTTTCCTATCAAATGCGTCTCCTGTAGGCAGCATATTGTTGGGTCTTGTTTTGTGATCCATTCTACTAGCCTGTGTCTCTTAATTGGTGAGTTTAAGCCATTAACATTTAGGGTTATTATTGAGATATGGGTTGTTCTTCCAGCCATATTTGTTTATTTATGTTACTAAACATGGTTTGTTTTCCTCTTTGATTATTTTTCCCCTTTTACTGTCCTACCTCCCACTGTTGGTTTTCATTGTTATTTTCCATTTCCTCTTCCTGTAATGCTTTGGCGAGGATGTTTTGAAGAGATGGTTTTCTAGCTACAAATTCTTTTAACTTTTGTTTATCGTGGAAGGTTTTAATTTCATCTTCCATCCTGAAGCTTAATTTCGCTGGAAACACAATTTTTGGTTGGAACCCATTTTCTTTCAGTGTTTGAAATATGTTATTCCAGGATCTTCTAGCTTTCAGAGTCTGTGTTGAAAGATCAGCTATTATCCTGATTGGCTTACCCCTAAATGTAATCTGCTTCCTTTCTCTTGTAGCTTTTAAAATTCTCTCCTTATTCTGTATGTTGGGCATCTTCATTATAATGTGTCTAGGTGTGGATCTCTTATGATTTTGTGCATTCGGCGTCCTGTAGGCTTCTAGGATTTGGGATTCTGTCTCATTCTTCAAGTCTGGGAAGTTTTCTCATATTATTTCATTGAATAGATTGCTCATTCCTTTGGTTTGAAACTCTGTCCCTTCCTGTATCCCAATGACTCTTAAATTTGGTCTCTTGATGTTATCCCATATTTCTTGGATGTTCTGCTCATGGTTTCTTAACAGTCTTGCTGAGCTGTCTATGTTCTTTTCCAGTTGAAATACTTTATCTTCATTGTCTGATGTTCTATCTTCTAAGTGTTCTACTCTGCTGGTAGTATTCTCAATTGAGTTTTTAAGTTTGTTTATTGCTTCCTGCATTTCTAGGATTTCTGTTTGTTTTTTATAACCTCTATCTCCCTGTATAGTTGATCTTTTGCTTCTTGGATTTGTTTATGTAATTCATTGTTGAAGTGATCTTTCATTGTCTGATTTTGCTGTCTGATGTCTTCCTTGAGGCTCCAGATCATCTGAAGCATGTATATCCTGAATTCTTTATCTGACATTCCATCTGCTGCAGCTATTACCTCTTCTAACGTTGAGTTGACCTGCATTGCTTGTGGTCCTTTCTTTCCTTGTCTCTTCATACTGTTTGCGTTCCTTTCTACTTGGTGAAACTGTTGTGCTATTGAATTTTCCCCCTATATATTTATATTGGTCTTGTATAGTTGCAAAGTCTCCCTCGCAGGCGCGGGCGGCGGCTCTGCCCCTCCTCCAATTGGGGCAATGTGCCTACCACGCCGGCAGGCTGCTGGGCCTGCTCTGCTGGTCGGTAGCAGGTCCACCTACCTTGCAGGCGCGGGCGGCGGCTCTGTCCCTCTGCGGGCCGCTAGGCTTGTTCTGTCGGTGGTCGCAGTTCTGCCTACTTTGCAGGCAGCGGCACTGCCCCTCTGCAGGCCTCTGGGGCTGTTCTGCCAGTGGGTTGCAGGTCCGCCTACCTTGCAGGCGCGGGGGGGGGGCGGCTCTACCCTTCCTCAGGCCACTGGGCCTGTTCTGTCTGTCGGTTGCAGGTCTGGCCTGTTCTGTTGGTGGTCACAGTTCCGTCTACCTTGCAGGCGCGGGGGAAGGGGTCGGCTCTGCCTCTCAGCAGGCCGCTGCGCCTGTTCTGCCGGTGGGTCGCAGGCCCGCCTACCTTGCAGGAGTGATTGGAAGCTCTGCCCCTCCGCGGGCCACTGGGCCTTTTCTGTCGGTGGTCACAGTTCCGCCTACCTGGCAGGCGTAGGGGGTGGGGGGCGGCTCTGCCCCTCAGAAGGCCGCTGGGCCTGTTCTGTGGGTGGTCACAATTCCGTCTACCTTGCCGGCGCAGGGGGAGGGGGCGGCTCTGCCTCTCAGCAGGCCGCTGCTCCTCTTCTGCCGGTGGGTCGCAGGCCCGCCTACCTTGCAGGAGTGATTGGAAGCTCTGCCCCTCCGCGGGCCACTGGGCCTTTTCTCTCAAATTTTATCTATGTCAACACAACTTATTAGTGAAGCATTGAATCTGCTGTCACCCTTGTCTCTGAGTAATATTTTCCATTCAATCTACATACATGTATGTAATCAGTGTGTAAATATATGTGAACATATACACACATTGTTTCCCCTTTTAGTGGGCAGCCATGTATCAGCGATGATGAAGAAATTAAAGAGGTAGATCTTCCTGAGCTAGAAGTAGACTCTGGATGTCTTCAGCCAGTTCTTCCAGAAAATGGATTTATCTGGGTAAGTATCTTGACCTTCAGTTTGTTTTGAAGTTAAAAAACAAAAACAAACTTGAAAAATGTGTATTTTCTTTTAAGTGGAGTTATTATTTTTCAATTTCTATAATCTTTGTAATATTTTTATGTAATCAAAGTAATATTTAGAATGCTTGACCACTCTTTCATCTTGAACTCACTGAAGATGTCTTCATGCCTGCTTATTTGATCAAAGGACAGTAGGTTGCTTGTGTTCCTTGGTACCACTTAGTCAAATGATAATGGTATATTTGTTGAATAGAGAATGGAACTTCTGCGTAATATAGGTTTGGATGACTTGTAACAATCTTCAACTAAGTCTGGTTGTTTATTTCTGAGTTTGAGAAAAATAATGCCTTCATTTAAGGTATGTCATCAAAAAAGATAAACTAGAGTTAGCCATAATCTATCATAGAAGTCCCTGTGTCTGTACTGTCTGATAAGGTGAGGAATCTGTAGAATCCTGAAGCAGTCAATACCATTGTAATGCACCTTTTAATTTAATCTGTTTTTATTAAGCCACAGAATGGTTTTATGCTTTTTCTGAAAATCAAATGCAGTCCTCAAACAGTCTGGCTTTAGATGTAAATCTTTCAGTAGATACATAATACTTAAAATTGATCACAGAAGGCATGGTCCCTATTCATTTTACATTTCTTAAACCTTTAAATTAGTGTTTTTCCAATTTTATCACATTTATGATTAAAGATCAGTAACCCTTGATTCTCCAAGCCTAGCACATAAATATCCATGGGCTATAGGCTGAGCTAATGTGTGTTTCCTGGTCACTTATGTTCTGTCTATGTGCAAAGTATCATGCCTGAAGATTTTAAAAGGAGGAAAATTATTGGAGGGAGGTAATTTTAGCTAGTGTTTATTCTAGAACAGAGGTTCTCAAATTCACCAAAGCACTGAAGAGATTGTTAGGTCACTGTCCCTTTCCCACAGTTTCTGATTCAGTAGGTCTTGGGTGAAGCCCCAAAGTTTCCATATCAAACACAGTACTGATGCTGTTAGGTCAGGAAGTCTCGCCTTGAGAATTAATCCATTAGAACAAGGGCCAGCGAACTATGCTCTAATGACCAAATCTGGCCTACTACTTTTTGAAAATAAAGTATTATTAGAACACAGTCACATTTATTTATTTATATACTGTCTATGACTACTTTCACAGAATAATGGCAGAGGTGAATACTTGTGACAGACACCTTATGGCTTGCAACTGACTATCCAGCTCTTTATAGAAAAGGTTTGCTGGTCCTGCTCTAAAACAGTATTGTCAAAATTACATTTGATCAGATCCAACTACCTAAATAACTTTTAATCCATTATAGCTTCACAGAAAAAAAAATGTTAAAACTGTTGACATCCTAATTTTAAAAACATGCAAAGTCTCTAAACAGTAATTTATGATTCTTATGACTCCATTATAAAATTAAATGTTATGTGTCTTAGTCAATTTTCTGTTGATATAACAGAATACTAAGAACTGAGTAATTTATAAAGAAAAGATATTTATTTAACTCACAATTCTGGAAGTTGGCAAGTTCAAAATTATGGCACCAACACTAATGAGGGCTTAGTGCTGTATCATAAGGTCATAACACAGATGAAGGGCAAGTGAGCATTCTGAGTCACAGAGGAAGGATGGAGCAGAACTTATCTTTTTATCAGGATAATGGCATTAATCTATTCATGAGGGCGACCAGCCCTCATGACCTAATTGTCTCTTAATACTGTCACAATGACACTTAAATATTCAACATGAGTTTAGAAGGGGACACTCAAACCACAGCAGTATGTTTTTATTTTCATTAATAAATTCACTCCTTGTTTTATTATAAAGGTTTGATCTCTATCTGCCAACAGTTTTTACTCAAAAGTAATACAACCTTACTTTTTCCTAATGAGCACTTATTTTGGATTTCCTAGTAGGAAAATTTCAGGGGCCACCCTGAACAGGAACTATGCACACATCTTGAAGTCCTCAGCAAAGAGGTATTGCACTCTGCAATGCAAGTGAACTTTACCTCTGCTCTGATAAGAAAGGTGCAGCTCTGGGAGTGGGCATCACCAGATGGGGTTGAGTTACACCCACCTGTTTGTTGTAATTCTACCTTTTGCCATTGTTTATTTGTTTGTTTGTTTTGTTTTGTTTTGTTTGGATAGAATGTTCCATGTATTAGCTCTCCCCATTAATAAAACCCAGGTTGGAGGCATGCTCCCTCTCTTTCTTACCTGCCTTGCCTCCTTCGTGGGAACTGGGTCAGAGGGACTGTCACAGAACCCAGATAAAAAGGTATTTCTCTGTGTGTGTGTCACTAATTCATGCCAGCCTAGTTCTCCTGGAGTGACCCTGGCTGATTTAGTCATATGTCACAACAGGAAAATGTTCCTTGTATGGATTCAGAGACAGACACACCTAACTCCAGGTTACAATAATCATGTTATTACGCATGGGGACATCTGTTCAGTGATCAAGACAAGTCCTATTCCTGTAGGCAAGTGACAGTGACTTTAGACAAAGTTTTCTTGTTTAGTCAGTCTAGCAGATGTGTGGTTTAAGCTTAATGGTTACAACATACACATGTAGATAATAGCTTTGTAAGAGAAATGGAAACAACAAATGTTCAAGACAATCATTTATTTTAGGAGAAATTCATGAAAAAATAGTGTGCAGTCTTTGAATAAGACACTGAAATCATTAATCCTATTCATCATTCCATTTTGCTTGGAAACAAAGACACATCTGCAATAATCAACAGTAGGACAGTTTTATATATCCAGGAAATTAGGACTCTTCCAGGGGACAAGTTAAATCATGTGCCCAAGTAATAGTAAACATTGACAACTGAGCCTTCACCTTCCTTCAGAACCCCAACTGCAGTTCTCAGAGAATAACTGACCAGGCAGTTCCTGGCACTCTCCTGCCTCTTAGTAAAGGGAGAGGATGTCGCATTACAAGTCCCCCCAGGAGGGATAGTGGTTGCATAGTTTCAAAGTTATTAAGGCCTGTGTAAGTATTTGGGAGACAGAGATCTGTAGAGTTGCCACCAAGAGTCAACATGGGGCTTATAAATGTGATAAACCTTATAAAACAGAGCTCTGTAGGTTGCCCCCAGCACTGAAAGGATGATATACCATAAGCTGTGGAAATCAAGGCAGTTTTCACAGAGGACGTTCTATTTGAGCTGATTCTTGAGAGAGAGGAAAAAATGTGTTTAGTGGAGAGAGAGGGGCAACTGAAGAAATAGAGGCACAGAAGAGAATTATGTTTGAAGAATGGTAGGTAATTGTGTCTCACTAGTAGCATGTAGATTTTATGGGATAAAAAAGTAGGTGAAAGTTAATATTCAAAACTTAGAAATATAAGATCCATTTTCATCTTGAAAATTTTATTCTTCCTTTTTTTTGGTGGTACTGGTTAAAGATTTTAGTAAGCCCTATCCCTACATGACAGTATTTGTACTTTAATTATCTATTAATTAGAAAAGTATATAATAACAAATGGGTTACTACAAGATGAATAACATTTTTAAATTATATGTAGGTGATGGAATAAATTATTTGTAGGTGATGGAATAGACAGAATTCAGGTTGACCTGAGATGTTTATATATGGTAATTTGTTGAATTAATAATTTGGGGGGTTCTGTTTTAATTCTAGAATGAAAAGAAACTGTACTCAGTTGGGGAAGAAATTGAGATTTCATGCCTTACTGGATTCAGAGCTGTTGGATACCAGTACTTCAGATGCCTACCAGACGGGACCTGGAGTCAAGGAGATATAGAATGCCAACGTGAGAACTGGGAAAACATTTTGTGTGACTATTCTGAATGTGTCCAATATAAATAGAAAAAAATCACACCCTCAGATCAGTACACTTTACTATTTTTTAGTAACTATGGTGAAAAGATTTAGTGAAGCAGTAAATGGAGCTCATTTGCTAAAATTAGATTTCAAAATGTCTCGTGTTTCAGTTCTTCTGCCCCTGCATATTAGCCTCATGCACAGAAAACTGTGAAGCATGCTCTTAAAAAGAAATACAGGAAGTCTGCAAACCATATCTAACTGCAGACATCTGTCTTGCCCTTGTGTACAAATTGATACAAATTGATGAGTCCCAAGAAGATGATACTTAGACTCTTTGTGTATCAGAAATGGGATTCCATGTGAGATGCAGTTTTCTCTGGGGCACAGTTCTTGGAGCACACTGACATCCTCTGCTGAGACAATGAATGAGCTTGTAGGTCCTGTGCACAGACATGCTACAGTAAACACTGATAATCAAAAATGCCCAAATGGGGACCCTATGCATTATTATGGGATATGTTGCATCAGAGTTAAGACTAGTGTCAATTATAATGTTCTACCTCTGTGCCACTCAAAACATGGTAACTCACTTTGGGGAAAACCCAAAAGATAGAAAAGGAAAGGAAATTGTTCTTTGAAAGTAAAAGGTCCCAGTGATGTACTAATGAAAGTTGGATATGTCTGGACTCAGTTTGATAGAAAGCAATCTCAGATACCAGGACTCACAGAAGTTTTTCAGAGAATTGTCTCAGGGGAAACAGCTAAACAAATCTCAGTCACATCACCTTTTGAGTCATAAACAACCTGCCTACAGTCGTTTGCATCGCTAACCACATCTGAAATGTTGCTCTCCCTGCAGGGGTAGAGTGTCTCAAGCCAGCTGTCCAAGAAGGCCTGACCCTTACACCATTCCAGAGAACATATAAAATTGGGGAATCCATTGAGCTAACCTGCCCCAAAGGTTTTGTGATTGCTGGGCCATCACGGTACACATGCCAGGGGGATTCCTGGACACCACCCATTTCAAACTCACTCGCCTGTGAAGAAGGTAAGTAGCAGCTCAGGATTCAGAATTCTGATAAGGCCAAGATCCCTGAGATTATATCTACAACAGTGCTATTACTTCATTGTGTTTTGGAGTCAGAAAGCAGAAGATTCCACTGGAAGGCTAGGTCATAGTCTACCCCACGTAGATGGTTTCAGGCAGCAAATAATAAGTAAGTGGTTGAGTGGATGTCTTCAAATTTTATAGGGTGAGTTCGAGTTTCTTCCAATATAAAACCTTAATATTTAGAAGAAGTTGAAGATCTCTCATAAAACAACATAAATTGAAGGCTAACTGAAATTTTTGTTCAAGAGGGGAGCCATAAAGAAGTAAGAAATACACTAAATTACGTACACATGTCACTATTAACCTAAAACAGAAATTTCCTAACGCTCTTCGAACAAAATGAACTTCATTTATCATTGTTTTAGCCAGCTTTTTCACTGCTATGACTAAAAAGACCTGAAAAAAACAATTAGAGGAGGAAAAGTTTATTGGGGGGGGGGGGTCATGATTTCAGAGGTCCACAAATGGCCAACTCCATTCCTCGGGGTCGGAGACGAGGCAGAACATCATAACAGAACAGTGTGGCAGAGAAAAACAGCTGGGGGACATGGCACCAGGAAGCAGACTGAGAATCTCCCCTCATGATGGACAAAATAAATACCCCAAAGGTATGCCCCCAATGTCCCACCTCCTCCAGCCACACCCCACATGCTTACAGTCACCACCCAGTTAATCCTTATCAAGAAATTAATGCACTGATCAGGGAAAGACTCTCATAACCCAATCATTTTTCCTGTAAACTTTATTGCAATGTCTTACACATGAGCCTTTGGGGGACACCTGATATCTAAACCATAACAATCATCTACGTTTTTTTTGTATCAACTTCTCTAAAACAAAGGTTTTTACCTCCAGATGGTGAACTTCTAAAAATCTGCTCCAGGCACATTCTTCAGACTATGGTCATTGAGCTAAAATGGGATCAGCATTGGTGGGTTTTCTTTCTTTCTTTCTTTTTTTTTAATCCTCTAGTCAGAATGGTTTTTGAATGTTTTCATCAAAAAAGAAATGACAACTATTTGGTGACATAGATTTATTCACTCCAATTTAAACATTACCCAGTGTATACATGTATCCAAACATCACATGAGATTGCATAAATGTGGACAATTTTTGTGTGTCAATTAATAAAAATTCTAATCAAAATAAGCAAAATTAATAAGAACTCTCCTAGCTAATCCAAATGTTCTACTAGAGGTGAGAACCATTATTTTGAAAAGAAAATTTTAAAACATTTTTAAAGCAAAATATTTAGAGAATGTTTTGAATTTTTGTATACCTTCTCCTAAATCTTTCAGTGGTTTCATCCACAACTAATTCAAAAGTGACTTTTGCAAATCTCTTTTATTTACTTGATCAAAAAATTCACCTTGGTTTTTATTTTAAAAATTCTGTTTCTCACCCTCTGCCAATTTATATATTGAATCAATTTATACAACGATATCTGGCATAAGTAGATTTGAAAACAAACAAAGCTGACTCTCAGGAAACACATAGATGTGTTGAAATCAAATAATGCACAATTTTAGAAGAGAAGGGCCCTCAATCCATGCAAGTTCAGTGTGAGATAGTCAGCTGGTATGGGGGCTGGGGATGTCTGCTCATGCTCTGTATCTGTATAAAGGAAGTGAATATCGTATCTTACATAATATTGACAGAAAGACTAAGGAAAGCAGTCAGAGAAAGAAAAAGACAGTGCAGCGGCTGGATGCTTAACCTACACAGGGATGAGCTAGAAATCCAAGAAAATTAATTAGAACTATAGAAATAAGATTAGACTCATTTGTTAGTGAAAAGCAGGGGACACTGTTGGATGGTCCAGCTTTGATGGAGACTGGATCTAACCACAAAATGGGGCCCGAGCAGTCATTTTGCTGGGAAGGTACAGTGAAAGGACCGAGTGTGAAAAACTTCTTTAGGAAAACAGAAGGAAGATGGGAAAAACAAGTTGTTTGGGCTTAGCAGGTTGTGCCCATCTCTTCTACCTCAGGACAGGATGGGATTTAGAAATCAAAGCTTTTTGAATTAGTGAGTTCCATGACAAACAGAGAACTTCCCCATCAACAGGAATCATCTTGCAAATGGGCGTTCCCTGGGCACCCTCTTACCACCAGGCTCCCCAAAGCAACGTTTCACTACGCAGGGTTTCTCATAGTTCAAAGCAATGATTTATCAACCACCTTTGCAGGACAACCTGGACTCAGGAGGTAAAGAGACTTTTAAGCTGTCACGTAGCCAGGAAAGATTATTGATTCTTTCAGTGTGAAAAAGGGTTTTACCCATGAAGAAGCAAGATGCTGCAGTTTCTTTTTCTTCCTTCTGAGAACCCAACACCTCCAGCAGCACCTCAGAAGATCCTCTTGCCCTCAGCACGTCAAAGATGAAAGAATTGCTCATTTCCAAGTTGCCCCTGTGCTGCACATGGTGGGCAGCTTAGAGCCAGCAGCAGCTTCAACGTGAGGCTGTGGGGAAGACCAAAGGCCCCTAGCATGTGGCCACTGACCATTTCAAACCAGCAGTGACAGAGCAGTGCTCTGGGCCACTCGACAGTTGGTTCTCTTTGGGGCCTTTTTCTGGCCTTTACAAAGGGCAAAGGAGCAAAACTCTATAAGAAACCAAAGAAGATCAATCCCATGTCATTGCAAATCCTAGTAGCTGCCACTTTCCAGAGCTACAGGCCTCTATGTTTATAAAGGTTCTGGGCCAGACTTCACCAGAGGGAATGAGGGTCTTAACAGAGGATAATAGTAAGAAATGGAAATAGCTGTGAAGAGGAAAACCTATGGATCTTTCCAATCTTTATTTTTGCCTAAACCCCTCTCCTTCCTTTTTCAGACCTTCCACCTAATAGGCTAAGAGGGGAGACTGTGGGTTGAGCCCACTGTTCTGTCCTGCAATCGATGACAATTTCTTCATACTGCCAGTTTTCCACCTTTGACAATTAATTGGTTCCCAAAGGCCATTCTAGTCCTGTGGGGGTCGAATTCATTAGATCCAGATCAAAGAAGGTGGTGATACCACCAATCACCGGTGATGACTTTTGCTCCCTCACGTGTTGAAGTATAACATTAGAGAAGCACACCGAGGCAAGCATATAAAGCAGGGTTTATTTTAAAACGGGAACATAGACTTCTCCCTGGAGGAAGAGGAGGGCCATAGCTGGTATCCTGGTATCCCAAGAAGTGCATACACGACCAGGCCCCGGGAAAGCTCAGCTGGATGGCCAAAAGGTGGAAAACAGGGGGCTCAAGGGGCCAGAAGCAGTGATCCAGTCAGGAAGGAATGGTAATTAACAACTCCCTGAGAAGAGGGACAATCCCTGGGACAGGTTACCTTAGCAACAGGGGCAGATTGTGATGGTGGAGGAAGGGCTCTGAAGGAATTAACATTTCAATGCCTCCATTCTCTGGATCTGACCCTTGCCTCTCTGCCTGTATAATTCTGGCTTCTTTGGTTTCATCCAACATGCTCAGGAGGTCAGTTTCAGGCCCAACAGAACCAGTCTAAAGGTTCTCTGGGTTGGCCTCAGTATAAACAAAGGTAACCAAGGTTTTCCCCTTGGTTTCCCCTAAAAGATACCATAAATTCAACAAATGTAGAGGAGGACTGTTCATTCGTCTCCTTTCTCTCCCTAAAACTAAGCATCATCTAAAATTTTGCATTCAGATAAGACGACAATGCCTAGTCTCTTATGTAAATCAGAAACCTAAGGATCATACTTGAAAGCCCTCACAACTTACCATAATATGTAATATCATTGGTTTTAACATGCTGTGTATAACTCAAATGCATCCATTTCTCTTCACTTCACCTAGGGCACCTTGACCCAAATTACCATCCCCTTCACCCAAATTACCATAATAGCCCCACGGATCCTCTAACATGCCTCTCTTGAATCCCCATGCCTCTCCAAATCTATTCTCTGCACAGAAGCCAGGATCCATTTCTTTTTCAAAACCCATACTTGACTTTTTTCACACCACCCCCTGCTTAAAACCCGATCAAAGACCTTCCACTGCTTAGCAAATGAAGAGAAAAAGGCCCTTGTTATACCATGCACAGCTGACCACATTCCTGCTTCTCAGGCCATTTCGTATTTCATGTTTTAGCTTTTCCGCACTTCAACCACAACAACCTGCCCTTCTTTCAGTTCCAGGAAAGTCACATGCTGCCTCCCTGGGGAGCACTTTCATACGTGATGTTCCTTCTGCTTCAAACAGTCTTCCTCCCTATTTGGCCATTCCTAACCTTTCCACTACGTCAATTTGCTTGATTATATGCTTTCTCTTTAATAGCCTTAATAATGGCTGCAATTCTACATGTATTATTGTGTTTGATCAATGTCCGCCTGCCCCACAAGACTGCAAATTCTGTGGGCACAGACCAGGTCAGGTTTTGCCCAACCCACTATCCCCAGAACCTAGCAGAGTGCTGGGAACATCACAGATGTTCAATGAGCACTTGAAAAACAAATGAACAAAAATTCCATCAATTTATTTTCTTTAGTTCTCTGAACTTCAGAGCATTTCTGGATGGGAAATGACTGTGTAGGTGAGCTGGAAAGGACATTTCAGCAGGAATATTTCATGACAACCTATTTGAAGAAGCTGAAATGAATGATTGAACTCTAGGAGATAAATGAGAACCCTTGGCCCTTGGTTTTTCTCCTAAATTCATGCTTATCAACGGGAATCCACACTGTGCACTGTTCTTTTCTCTCTTTTCTTTTGTTTCAGATATTCTGACAAAATTAAAAGGGCATTGTCAGCCAGGTCAAAAACAGTCAGGATCTGAATGCATTTGTATGTCTCCCGAAGAAGACTGTGGGTAAGTGGATTGTGTTGGCAAATTGGAAAAAAATTGTCTTTCTGGCTGGATGGAAAAGCTGAGCTCCTGACGCACACACATGAGGCATATTAATTTTCACATAACTGATGACCCTGTGCTCTATGGAACTGCTCCTTCCCCACTGGGCAGCAAATTTTAAAATTATTTCTCAGCCTATTTCCCTAAGTTTGCATAGCTTTTTTTTTTTAACAGTTTCACTTCAGTTTTAAATTACTCTTCTCCATTTTAAAATGCCAAACTCAACTATGCTAAAAAGCCTTCCTTTCCCCTACTAAGAACAGGAAAAGGTTGCAACTACAATAGCTTGAAGTAAATAGAGGAAGTGGTGTGATCATGGACCTCAAACACACAGACACACACACACACACACACACACACACATCTTTGCCACTTGATTATTTTTTCTTCATGCTGGGAATCATAAAGAAGAAAAATGACATGTCCTCACATGACTTCCATGACTGTCTCCTCTTTGTTGGTTAACTGCCTTTTCCATACTAAACAAAACTGGAGTGTCAACATTGCTCGTTAATTTAAGGGGTAGTTTGGGCTGAATTTAAAAGCAATCAAAGTAGCATTCACTGAAGATAAAAGATTGTTTCTTTATGTCACAAAATAAATGTAGAGATGGGTGGTCCAGAGCTGGCTTGGTGGTTCCCCCATTTTCCATAAGACAGAATTTCTTTTCTGTTCTCAGTTTTGCCATCCTTAAAATTATTTTACAGTCAAAACTGCTGGAACAGGAAGGGAGACCAAAATCAGAGTGCATTCTTTCTTTTTAAGTTTTCCCAGAAGACTTACCCTTTGCTTCTATCTCATTAACTTTTTCTTATTCCCAGAGCCACAGGCACCTGCAAGGAATGTCTTTCTTTAGTGGGACACATGACCATTCTGAGTAAAATTAGAGTTCAATTACTGAAGAGGTGAAAGAATGGATGCTTAGGTAGAAAGCCAAGACTCTGCCCAGTTGGGAATATTTCACGCTTTACTTTGGGCTCTAATATTCCTCTGGGCTCTCATATTCCTCCTATATACTTCAGATCTTTTTTTTGTGTGTGAGGATGCAAATGTTGTTTTTGGAGAGTCCAACAGGGTGCTTTTCTTTTTTCATTATTTTTTAATTTTTAAAAGATTGAAATTATTCATCAATTTTTTTAAATTTCTTAAATTCATTTTCTGTAGTTGTAGAAGGACAGCATGCCTTTATTTATTTTTATGTGGTGCTAAGGATCAAACCCAGTGTCTCACACATGCTAGGCAAGTGCTCTGCCACTGAGCCCCAGCCCCAGCCCCAACAGGGTGCTTTTCCATCTAACTCCATGACATAATTCAGCCCAAAGGTGACTCTGTCTACCCTCCTCCATGTGGCTTCTTGCCACTACAGTCTCCTCACCAGTAGATGGTCTTCTGGAAGATACACAGGACATTCACATTGTCTATTTAATCAGAGGAAGCTTCTTTCTTTTTCTGTGTGATACCAAATCCTGAGAATACAAGCTGTGTCCTGGAAATCCTATTTTAACTCTGATTTTCCTCTCCACCCACCTCCTATATACTTCAAATCTTTTTTTATGTGGGGTTTAAGGTGTTACAGGAGCCACAGCTTTTTGCTCTCAGTTTGGGGTTCTAGTTCCTGGGAACAGTCTTTCATATTGGCATGTTGACTTTAAGGTTGACATTGGACAAGAAACTCAAATTTGGAATAATCAAGGAGAACTTGATTTCTCAACAAGAGAAAAAAAAAAAAAAAACTGTGGCCACTTGTTACCTCTGGATGGTAACAGGCCCCATCTATCTATTCAGGAAGATGAAACAAGTTATATGGGGAACGATTTAAATGTTCATCCTCTTAATCACAGCACACGCTTGAAAAACAATATAATGTTCTAGAATCCATATTACATGTTCTAAGTTGATGTTTCAATTTAATGAGTAGTTTAGAATTCAGAGAAGCTACTCAAGGTCATGGGCTGGGTTGATCTGGGTGAACTTGAAAATGTCACCAGACACTGAGCTGGATATACATAGGTAGAGAAGAGAGATAACACAGTGCCGACTGAGCAGGGCTGGATGGCAGAAAAGGAAGAATTATCTTAGCAGTCAAGAAAACAATCAAAGCAACCATCAGGTGATAAAGAGATGTTTAGGAAAATGAGAAAATAATTTTAGAAAAGAAAGTTGTTTGAAGTCGAATTATGGAAGATCTTTATTACTGCATTCTTTTGATTAGCTTGAAGTCAATTTGGAGGAATACCAAGACTAAAAAAATGAATCCCAGGCAGCATGCAAGATGCAATGAGGGACTGAAAGTGGGGAAATTGGGCAAAAAAAAAATGAGGGAAGAAAACTGGGTGGTAAGTTTACGTATTAAATCGACTAAGTGCCATCTATGTTTTCGGATCTTCATATATAAATGCTTGCTTTCCTTCCTTGGGCAGTCATTACTCAGAAGATATCTGTGTGTTTGATATGGATTCCAGCCATTACTTGACTTCATCTGCTTGTAAGTTTTTGGCGGAGAAATGTTTAAATAATCAGAAACTCCATTTCCTGCATATTGGTACCTGCCAAGAGGGACCACAGTTAAAATGGAGACTTGAAAGGATAAAACTTGCATCCAATAGCACAAAGAAGGAACCCTGTGGCTATGACACGTGCTATGACTGGGAAAAATGTTCAGGTAAGCCATAGCCACAACTGTCCCTAGACATGCTCTCCCTGATGATGTATCTCAGACGGTATGGTGTATCTTGGTATTTACACTTCATCAATTTAAAACTAACCTTTCCTTAATTAAAAAAAATACATTTTGGGGGGGAAAATTTTTTTTGAACTTATTTTTATTTGTCCTAATTAGTAATACATGGCAGTAGAATGAATTTTTACATATCACACATAAATGGAGTATAACTTCTCATTCTTCTGGTTGTACATGATGTAAAATCTCACTGGTAGTGTAATCATATATGTACATATGGTAATAATGTTCAATTCATTCTACTATCCTTCCTCCTTATACCCCCTCCCCTCCCTTCACTCCCCTCAATATAATACAAAGTTCTTCTATTCTTACCTAGCCCCCACCCCTCAACTTATTGTGAATTGTCATCCACATATCAGAGAAAATATCCAGCTTTTAGTTCCTTGGGATTGGCTTATTTTGCTAAGCATGATATTCCCCACTTCCATCCATTTACTGGCAGATTCCAAAATTTCATTCTTCTTTAAGACTGAGTAATATTCCATTGTGTATATATACCACAATTTATTTAGCCATTTATCTGTTGAAGAGGGGGTGGGGAAACATGCTTGTAATTCCAGTGACTCAGGAGGATCTCAAGTTTGAGGCCAGTCTCAGAAACTTAGCAAGACTCTCAGCAATTTAGAGAGACCCTGTCTCAAAATAAAAACTAAAAAGACTAGGTATGTAACACAGTGGTTAAAGTGCCTTGGGTTCAATTCCAAATACAAAAAAAAATTAATGATTTAAACAGCACAAAACCATCATGATTAGAAATAATTACTGTAATGTGGATGTATATCTTTCCAATTTCTTTTCTATTCAAGTGAAATCAGTAAAACCTTAGATCCCAGTGAGAAGAGCATTTCTCTGATTTCATGCTTCAGGTCAGAATTGTCTAATTTTTTCTTGGATGGTTCAAACATACAAGGGGCCAACAGTGTAGTCCAGGAAGGACTAGGTTTCACATAGATAACAATTGCTAGATATATCTTCCAGTACCTGGAATCAGCCAAGGCTGGCAATGTTTTTCAAGTAGATACCCTGAGCAAACAGTAGTACATAGAGACCCCGGCTTGGTTTCTCTCCTATAGAAATTCTCCAACCCTCTGCTGCCTCTCTTTCCCACCATGCATGCAAATCAACCAAATGCCCCCAGAGCTGTGTGACTCATGCCTATGGTGCCACTTCCAGCCCAGAGGTAGATCCTCACTCCCAGAGAGCAACCAAGATTGCTCCTACTAACTGGTAGGGTCTTCTTGTTCACGATTACTTAATATTGGACTACTGGTATGGTGCTGACACACTAATTTGGGTGACTGATTATTTATATAGACAGATGCCCTCGTAAAAATTATCCCTGGGGCCTTGCACACCTCAGGGGTGACCCTGCACATAGTGCAAATTTTAAAAAATAAAATATAATTACTTTCTATGTGATATATAAATTGTTGCTGTTCACTTAATAGATCATAAAACAAATTTCTCGTCATCATCTGTTATTCTTCCATATAATTTTCGATTTCTGCAAAATGGGCATTCTGTGATTTATTTAACCAATTTTTGTTTTGATTCTTGAATTTCCCCCTGCATTTTTCTATTGTCAACAGTGCTATGATAGATAAATCTATCACAGAGAGAGATATATAACTTAAGATTATTTCCTTAGGATAAAACTCAGAAAATAGAATTTCTAAGTAAGTATTATTTTTAGGAATAAAGTTTTGACTGATTTAATGCATCAGCTTGCTTTCCAGAGATGATTTTACCATATTGTATTCCAATCTGAAACACATTATAGAGACTGTCCTCCCACACCTTCACCAAGTCTCAAAATCATGCTCCTATCTCTGCCAATTTAATTCTTAAGAAGAGGCACTAAATCTCCATTTTCCATAAGTACGTTGCTATTGGCAGTACATTTGTGAATTTCTTGGAAGTAGGATTTTCACAGCAGTACATCTGATGTAAGATGAAGTCTGACCCTGAAATAGCCCCAACTAAGCTTCATATAAAACACAAAGATGGTCAGAGATTAGGAATTAATAGAATTCAAATAGGCATCTAAATTTGCCTTGCAATACATTTTCAAAAATGTATCTCAAATCTGCAGGTAAAGTATCCAATGGGAACTTGCTGAATTGTTACATCTAACTTTTGCTAAAACCTCCTTAGTTTACAAGAAGAAATGCAGAAATCATAGGGTTCCTCTTGCTCTCTCTTTCATTTTCTGGCCCAATCAGCTCAGTCCCAAAAAGAAAAGAGGTATTACCCAAACCCAGTTCTTCCTGATCCATGTAAAGCTGTTCATCAAGATTCAACTTCTTTGACAGGCCAAAAGGTTGGCCCATGAGAGAGGGTACACACGAGTGGCACAGATGAACAGGCCATTTAATGGCCACAGGTCAGGAGGTGAATACCTGTAACTGCTGACCTTCATGCCACATCTGAACCAAACAATTTCACACAAAATACAGAAAAACAGAGCCCTGTATGTACATTGCCCAGTTGTAAACACTTTTAATTCATCTCATAGATTTAAAAACTCTATTATTCATATTTTGGGTGCTTGGTTAACACCATTACCCAATGCCAGCTCTCTCAGAAACAATCATTTGGGTAGAAAAAACCTGAAGGCATTTTGCAGCATTCTTCTTGTACTAACTCTAAGTTTTTTTTTCTCTGAAAAAATGTAACATAAAAATATCATTAAAAATATAAACAGAGGGCTGGGGATGTGGCTCAAGCGGTAGCGCGCTCGCCTGGCATGCGTGCGGCCCGGGTTCAATCCTCAGCACCACATACAAGCAAAGATATTGTGTCCGCCGAGAACTAAAAAATAAATATTAAAAAAAAATCTCTCTCTCTCTCTCTCTCTCTCTCAAATATATATATATATATATATATATATATATATATATATATATATATATATATATAAAATAAGAGGAATATGGATATCAGGGAGGATTTCCCAAATACCTGACCCATCTACCTGTTCATACTATGGTAGATGGGTCAGACATTTGGGAATGTGTTTAGGGTTAGTGTCCATTCTTCTTTGTTTGTTATGAAGAAAAGTCTTCATGAAACTCTTTTATTAAAAATAATTTCTTTTTTTTCTTTTGGCTATTTTTCCACAAATTTTTCTTTTCAAATCTGTCCAAACAAAAATTAACTAACAGCATACAACTTTCATCAAATATCTGCTGTACTATAACCCCTCTGTTATACCTGCATCTAAGTGCCCAAAGACTTCAGAAATCTAAGTTGGGGCGGGGGGGGGGGGCGGCAGTTGCTAAAAATTTTGAATACTTAACCAGTATTCCTCAAACTAGCAGGACATTTTGGGGCAACCAACCCAACACTTGTTCATTTCTTAATAAGAGATTTAAGTAATTTAAAATATATTTTAATCCCAAACATAATCAGAAAACTGAAAGCATTTTTCCCTAAAGATATGGTCTGTCTCTGCAGGGCTTCTTAAACTGGTGAACAAAAGTTAGTGTCACCAAGAATTCTGTTTGGAGTAGCACTAAAGAATAGCATCAATGTATAAGCTAATGCATTTACAAAGGAAGAGAAAGCTAGAAATGTGTTTTATACTCCACCTACTCATAGCAAGTTGGGATATTAGTAATTTTGAGTTGAATTGAATGTCACCTTGATTAAATGGTGTTCTTGATTACATTGTGCTCTTTGCTACTCTTTTCCTTCTCTATCTAAAATGAAATAAGAAACACTTTAGAATAGAACTTCAAAGTAACATAAAGTTCACTTTTCAAAAGTTAAAAGAAATGGCTTCCCCAGGGAGCTTATTTTTTATGAATATTAAATGTTCCGTTTAAATTTCAAAAATATCCACCAACAACCAACAGGAAAGGGAAATTCATTCAGCAAAAAATCCATTTAGCATCCAATATGTGGAAGTCACTGAACAAGGCCTGTTGAGTGGGCAGAAGATAAAGGACCCTTTGTACCTCTCAAATTGTTCACAGTAGTTGGAGGAGTAACATTGCACAGTAATTGCATGAATCACTTTAATGCACAGCAGCATGTGATAAGAGCTGTAGGAGAGAGAAATCTTCTGACCTGGGAGGGTTTCCTAAGCCTGGGAATGTGAAAACTGACTGTGCAAGGATTGATTAGTGGAAGTGGTAGGAAGGGCCCTTTGGTGTTGGTAGTCTGAAAAAAAAAAATATAGCAGATTAAGAGCATTTAAACTATGATCATACTAAAAGAAGGGTGACCATGGCCTTTCCAAAAGCTAAGAAAAACAATTTCCTTACCAGAGGTGGAATGGTACCTTGAACTTCTCTAAACTCTATTCCTTCCAATGATGGATGAGACTTTCCACAACTAGAATCTTCTCTAGTTGGTTGACAGAGAACATAGAAAGGAAATGCATTTTTGCACAAAATGTTTCCTACCAAGGGCAAGATGGCTGTACATATGGCACATGTAAGTAATTCTTCACTTCCTTTCCCTGTTTTCTCCTATGAGACGCAAAGGTAATAACTATCTTCTGCTTAATAGAAGATAGGTATTAAAGACAGCATTGCTGATACGCAGGCTGACTCCCTTAATGTGTTAACTTCAGTTTCAAAGACCCATAAAATATAATTCTTCTTATATACATATATCTGCACCCCAAATCCAGAATTTAAGATCAATTGTTCCAGCAGAATTAGTTGAGCATCTGTTTAACAGCTGAGTAGGACACCCAGGTGTATGATCAACCACTGAAGTTCTAAAAACAAAGCACTTAAAATTGTCTTGGGAAAAAGGACATATGAAAGCTAACAAGAAAATGTCAAATGTGGTACTGAAAAATGTATACTCTTAAAGTTAGTAGAGGAAAAGATGGGGTTGAGTGTTTGTGAATTGCTTCATAGAGGAGGTGAGACTTATAGAAAATGTACACTTGGGGGCGGGAATAGAAAAGAACACCTTAGTCTGGCAAAATAAGGTAGTGGTGTGAAGGAAAGGACAAACACTGGAATACTTTGGCACCTTGGACACTTGGGGACTTTTTTGTTTCTTTGTTTTTTAACTGAGATGGATTTAATCCACTTGGAATGGAGAAGGTTGAAACATTAATACTGGAGAGGGAAGATTAGGGGAAAATGTGAATGACCTTTGAAATTTGACTAAATCTATACCATGTAGAATGGAGCTAGTATAGTTTTTAGTCAATTAAATAAAGCATGCGAAGTGCTTGGTGAACACTAGCAGCTCCATGTGGGCGGTGATTGAGAGGGAAGTGCTAGAGATAGCTTAAATCCTGACTGGATATGAGCAGTGAAACCGGCAGAGGTCAGAGATAGCCCAACTCCTGAATCCTGCTTAGGGGTGCACCCTGCCATCTTGCATTCAGGCCTCTCCATTTAACCACTGTTGGGTCTTTTGGGTGACTGCCATTGTCTCAGCTTTCTCAGTCATTGCCACTAGGGAGTTCCCCCCCACTTGGGACAAGTAAACTAAGCCTTTGTGTTAGTTAGATTTTCTTTGCTGTGCTTGAGCTACCTGGTAAGAACAACCTGGAAGAGGAAAAGTTTAGTTGGGGCTCATGATTTCAGAAGTTCAGTCCATGATCAGCCGACTGATTCATTTGCTGTGGGTTTAAATGAGGCAGAACATCATGGCAGAGAGGTATAGCAGAGGAAAACTACCCAGCTCAGGGAAACCAGGAAGCAGAGAGAAGATAAGGATCCACGGACAAAATACAAACTCCCAAATCATGCCCTCAGCCACCTACCTCTTCCAACCACACTGTACCTGAATACAGTATAGCAGTATTTTCAAATTATTTATCCATCACATGATTGATCACAGTTAAGCTGCAGCTCTCATAATCTAGTCATTTCATCTGAACATTCCTCCATTTTGTCTCACCTGAGCTATCGGGGACACCTCATCTCCAAACCATAACACCCTTTAAATCCTGTGATAAGTCACACTGTCTCTCTCCCTTTCTCCCTCATCATAGCTTCCACTTCCAGTTGTGTCTGCCTCTTGCCCCCCAAGTGCTTCAAGGGTGGAAACCAAGTCTACTGTATCAAAATTGGATCCTCAACACGCGAGAAAACAGCGAACATCTGTGAAGTGGGAGCCGTGAGGTGTGCAGACAGGAAGGTGGAAATACTGCACCCTGGGAGGTGCTTGGCCTAGCACCATTACTTTCAGATTTGTACATAAACATAATCCCTAAAAAAGACATGTTCACATGGCCAGAAGTTACTGAAAAATTCTTTTGTGTTAGTTTTATATCATAAATCGCCTCTAATTCTCCTATTTTAGCCTCCTCTATTATGTTCCAATGCATGTCACCCTAGAGTGTACCCCTGAGTTATATTTCCACATCCATTTAATGAATTCTTTTGTTCAGGTTACTTAAAAATAATTGATTTTCTGAGGATCCTATGAAACGAAGCATCCTCACAATTAAAATAAGAACAAAAATCATGATTTTCATTTTGATGAATTAATAAACATTGAAATCTACAGAACCTGTAAAACACATTCTGGAAAACTAAGAACATCCACATATTCATTTAACAAATAACTTCTGAGTGACTGCATTGTGCCAAATACTGGTCAAGGTCTGGGGGAATCAGCATTATGTAGGCAAGACACCTCCCTACGTACGACTCACCTCCACATGGATTTAGAAATATCAAAAGCAAAACGAACATGTAAAATGTGTAGTAAGTTTGATGCTGAACATTACTGTGAAGGCAACAAAGCAGGCAAGAGTAGATCCCATTCTTAAGCCTCATCTTGTTCAAGGAATATTCCATAGCAGTAAACATCACTTTAAGCAAGATTGGACTCAAGTGGAAATCACCTTGTTGAAAGTAGTTAAAAATAAACTTCTGGAGTTTCATTCTTGAGGCAGGAGAAAAGAGATTCTCTTTGCTCCAGCTAAAATGTATCACAAAGCTTTTAAGCTAAAGTATCTGAAAATTGCAAATAAGCAAAGAAAATTGTCAGAGAATTTTGAAGGAATAATTTTTTAAGTAAGTCAAATCATTTTATTCAGCCACATGAAGTAGACACTGTTTCTTAGTCAGGGTGTCATTTTGAATTGGGAAAGAGAGGCATCGTTAGAACAGCAGTTCTCAAATATTAGGGTGCTTCAGAACCACCTAGAGGGTGCGTTAACACATATTCTGTGGGCTTGCTTCTGATTTCTGATCAGCAAGTCTGAATTGGGGCATAAGAATTGGTATTTCTAACAGCATCACAGGTGGTACTGCTGATGGCCATCAGGCAGTCACATTTTGCAAACCTCTGGTTTAGAGATGAGCCACTGGACAGCTGACCCTGAGTTTATAACTGATCTCAAAACCTCAGCTGGGGCTGGGGATGTGGCTCAAGCAGTGGCGCGCTTGCCTGGCATGCGAGCGGCCCGGGTTCGATCCTTGGCACCACATACAAACGAAGATGTTGTGTCCGCCAAATACTAAAAAATAAATATTAAAAAACTCCCTCTCCACCCAGAGTGAGTGGAAGCTGCCTTCCTCCTTCTACCACTCCCTGAAATTCCCCACCATGTGGAAGACATTCTTTTGTTTGGAGATGCAGCACTCCATTTTCTGCCTCCACCATCACACAGCCTCTTTGCCATCTTTCTTCTGTGAATGTCTGCCCAAATTCCATCGCCTTATATGTACATTAATCATATTGGATTAGACCCACTCTGATGACCTTGTCTTAACTTTATTGCATCTTCAAAGACCCTATTCTAAAATAAGGTCAAATTTACAGGTCCCAGGGGTAATGACTTCAGCATACTTTGGGGGGGATGATATTCAACTCTTATCACTGAGACTGGGAACAAAAATAATTCCTGTTTACAGCCCCTCATATAATCCAAGGGTTATACCAGCAATTACATTCATATTGTTTGATTAAAATAGTCACACTTGCTTTGCAGCATTTTATTATTTTACTTGTAGCAATCTTTCCATTTAATGTTGATTAGTTGGTCTTTTTTCAATTCCAGTTACTGTTGTCTCAAAGAAATTTTTGAGTGCACTAATCCATTAAAGTTTGCATTAGGCTAATTTGCATACCACTTACCAGCTGAATTTTTCACAGTCTGATATTAATATTAATATAGCAATTTAGTACAAAAGGTGTTAAGAGCTAGTGATAAAATTATCATCATGAAACAGAGAGCAAAACTGGAGCATATTAAATACATGGAATTTGGACCTAGACTCTCCAACTCTGTCCTAGAAGATTAAATAAATTCTAGATCAAAGGTAAAAGCTTTTTCCTCTTAGGCTGTTAGAGATGAATGCTAAGCATTCATGCTTGTAGCTTAAGTAACTGAAAATCAATTCATGTCTTTTTTAAATACAGATTTTAATTTTTGTTGGTTCTGCAACATACTGACAAAATAAGTGAACCCCTCCCATTTAAAGAACTTTATGAATAGCAGGTTATATATTTCAGATGTCCTGGGAGCAAAGACACAAGCTTGATTCTAAAACTACTATCTTAAAATTCTAGTGCTCAGGTGAGATGACACTCATATTTAACTAAGGTTTCTTCTACATGGCAATCTTCAGTAAAACTCACTAAATTTGAGAATACAATTTTGTTTTTTTGTTTTTTTTGTATAAAAACCCTTCAATTCCTATAACAAACACTGCTTAGTTTTGATGATTGAGCTCTTCTGTTGTCTCCAGAAGACTACCCACCGGCTACACCTAATCCACATCCCTTCCTAGACTCTAATTCTGAGTAACAAGAATCTGACGGATCATGATATTTCGGGTTGCTGTTGGATGCCAAACTTCCCTGAAGCTTGATTAATTGGATTCCAAATGGCTGGCTCTCTCTAAGGTCACCTTCATTCTTTCAGAATACATCATGAGTGGAATCAATGAGGCAAACAGCTTTTAACCAAACAAATGGCCTGCAAAATTATAGCTGTTTCCAGTCTGCTTTATGAAAGTGAGACAGGCCACTGCTACCCTATTTGTCTTCTTGACAAGCTCTGGCTGCATAGTTCCAGTTTCACATGTCCAATGTCAGTTAGTAGAGGTCCGTGTCACCAATCAAGGGACTCTGGGGCACAGATGGTGCACTGAAAGTCATGCTCATGGAGATTTATATAGGAAGATGTTCATCACAACATTATTTATAATACCAAACACTGACAGACCCCAAATATTCAAAAATGAATTAAGACCCTTCCTACAATGGGAAAATATGAGGCAAATAGTGTCTTTCTGAAAACATTTTAATGGGCATAATAAAAAGTTAAAAACCAGGATACAAAAGTATATGTGATTACAGCTGTGCAAATTATGTGTATAAATGCCTTTAAAAAGAATGACTGGTTAAAACAACATCTGTTGCTGAAATTTGAAGTGAATTTTATTTACTTATTTATATTTTTCTGTATGGTCTAATTTTCTCCAATCAGCAGGTAACTATTTTTAATTGGGACAAACAGTCACTTTGAACATTTTTCTCTTCCATTTAGGTAAGAACACTTAGTTCTACCCATGTACAGACAGTGGTGGGCTGTGTACAGCACACCTCCCTGTTCTGCCCTTGTCTACACAGGGAGTTTTTAGCCACGCTTGACAGCCTCACATGGTCATTCCTTCATTCACATGCACTTTCTGAATTTTTCTGTGAGTTAGGTCTCTAATCATACAAAGATTTGGGAGGCGTATGTAGTATAAAGGAAAGACTTTACAGGTCTACTTAAGCCAGTGTTGTACAAAGTGGAAGGCAGTGAACAGCACCTTAAAAACTACAGGTACAGGTAAATGCTGCAGTCTGGCTGGGCACAAATCTCGAGCCACTGAAGCAGGAACAAACTTTATTTTTGAACTCCACCAAAACACTTCACACACGCTCCCGGGGAATTCTCCTGAATGCCAAGCGGCTCGTCCAGGAACCCGCAGCCAGAAAATCTCCTCTGGAAATCCCTCCTCCTGCACTTCCCCAACCAATGGGAACTCTCCGGGAATCCCCGGGAATCCCCACAAGAACTCCAAAAGTAGCGGCCGAGGCGGATAGTAATGCCTCACCTGTCAACCAATACTATTGGCAAAATGCCAGGGGCCATTCTGACTCGGCTGTGGCTCTTAGCATCTCCCCCCTTCTGTTTAATTAAACAACAAGCAATGTGGCTTAGGGACTGTGCCTGTTAGGTTGTCCAATACAACATATGGTTCTTACCCATCATCGGATGAGCTGACCTCTAGGCGTCAGCTTCCTGTCTTAGGTTGGTACCACTGCAATTGGATCAAACCCGTCACTGACTACCAGTCCAGCATACAGCCATACTTGTGGATAGGCCTATGCACCAGTGGGGGGGGGGGTGAGGTTCTTTGCCTCACCTCTGTTGGCCCCCAAATTTGGCCTTTGCACCAGTGGGGGGTGAGGTTCTTTGCCTCACCTCTGTTGGCCCCCAAATTTTAGACCATCACTAGTAGAAGGGAGGAGGATACAGAAATGCCATGACACTAAGCCAATTGACGGCTCCTTTGAAAACTTGTACCACCGGTGACACTATCAGCAAAGATACTCCAGCATTACCACAATTCGCTGCACCAACAGATAGTTCACAATGTATACAAGTGATACATAGTCCAGGCAAGTTCTGCAAGCAGTTCAAAGCGGAGGAATCTATCAATAAGTCCATTTCCTCCCAAAGTAAATCTACTCCTTGATTGAGCATTACTTGTTGAGTTATTATTCATTGATGCATCAGTTTATACAGTTTGTTGTGATAACTATCGAAGAAGCTGTAGTTTGGTTTTATCATTGTCTTCACCGGCACTGGGATGAAGATAGGAATTCTGGCAATGATGCTAAAAAAAAAATATGTAACATTCCAACAGGTACTAAGAAAACAATTTTCTGAACAATTTACATTATCCTGAACAGAATTATTAAATATAATGAAAAGGAAAGGTGATAGTAAACAAACAGATCTGTTAACCTCCTTTTTTTTCACATATTAAAACAATCCTCAACAGCTGTTTACCCAATTTAAATTAAACCATTTAAATCACGTGAATAAAAAAAAATTTGGATCCATTTTTTCATGAGCGCTCCTCATATATGATATATGACATACGCACACACAGACATACAACACAAAACAGAAGTGTGCACACATAACATAATATATACAACACATAACATAATAGTAAAGGCCTTGTAGTTTTTCACAGGTGAAATTTCCATTGCAATGTTTAAAAACTCCACAGTCAAAAAATAAAACTGATCAGAAAAACATTAACCTAGGTCTATATGAGCTCAAAAATAAAATAGAACTTTATGATGTGGGAAAAGGCAATAATAAAATAGATATTGCAAAAAGCATCCTGGTTAATCACTGTTGCAGATGTAAGAATAGCCAAGCTGGAGCTCTGGATATCAGCAGTTATGGATTTGAGTCAAATCATCTTCTTTTTGGTCTGTAGAAA